GTTCATCTATCCGCCGACTCGGTCCTTTCCGTTCTATGCCCGTATTTCTCCCCTTTCTAATTCCTTTCCTGCCTAAGCTCACTCTACCACGAGTAGATCGCTCCGTCCAGGTCGTGCATTCGTGATTTATACTTTTCTCATTCACCGAGCTGCTTCCTCTCTGCTGCTCCGGTTTTCAACTGTCCGCCGAGACAGCAGGATTATTCGACGACTGTATGCGACTATGAAGCCGTGCTAGAGCAAGCATAAAAAATCGCTGAATTTCAGATGAACTCGCTCCTCGAAGGAACCCGCCGTGATAATGACGATTCGAATCTTGACTTCGAAAACTCTCCGCGAGTTTCCGGAAAGAACTCATTTCCACATCACAGAGAGGAGTACTCACCAACCGATATTATGACCGGCCGAGCATTTGGACCTTGGCTCGGCGAAGGTGTCCGACGTAAATGCCTTATCCAGACTCATATGCCGAGAGTATACAGTTCCTGTCCCTAGACAGGACAATGATTTGACGCCAATGAGGACGATGGAAGTTCCATAGGTCAGCATAGGTCACCGATCCGATGGTGGCCTTGCAGTCAGTGGCGCTCTTCCTCTCCATGCCGATCCGGGCGGTTTGCGAAAATTTTCGTCTTTTGGAAGAGATTGTCAAGAATGTCGCCGTGTATCGGAATGTTACTCCTCAGAAATCCCTGTTTTCGGACCTGAATGTCTGAAGTGTCCCGATGAATCGCCGTTCTTCCGAATGCCAAAACAGAAAATTCCGCCTCTCAAGGATGCGCCCGGCGCGTCTTATCCTCTCTGGTCCGCCACTGCCTGCAGCATGGATGTTTAGAGAGTCGCGCACGCTTTCTATTCCACCATGAGATCTCGTCAAAAGAAACACCGTCACGACGGATCTTCAGTAGCACGAGCAAACCCCCTTCTATAGGCTGGCTCGCCATAGAGATGATGGTGGAAAAGATTCCTTACAGCGAACTATCATTACAACGAACACACATCTCCTCGCTCTCGCGAGCTTCATTAAATTCAGGTTCGACCGAATTCCCCATTCTCCAATCGATCTCCGACCGATCTCTCTTGTCTTAGGTCTCGGGCCACCGCAGGGTCTGCTCGGAACTTTATCCTGGCTCCCCAAGCCGAGGACGAGGGAGGTGCTCCGAGCGACAATGTTAGCGACGAAGGACCGTCGAATGCCCCGTCCCCGATGGGAGTCAACAAGTTCACGAACATGGAATTCGCTCGCGTGAATGTGCCTCGGAACGGTCGTCCCTTATGACCATAAACTGCATAGATTCGGCAACCGAATCGGGGAGCTACTGCCTCGGATTGAGATGAGGTCCGTAGTCAAGGTTATTCTCCAGCTCGAGAAATTCCGGCATCTCGACCGGTTTAGCTCGCGATGGCGACGATAGTCGTTGCACCTCGACTCTTCTCGTATCGAGCAGCTCTAAGAAGGCGGAACTGCTTCGAGTCGATCTCCGTCTCAGTCAGTCAGAGCACCGCCTCAAGTTCATATACAGAGACTATTTTTAGTGTTCATGCTACCGACTGTATCAGATAAGTTCACCCGACTAGTGACAATGCCGCAGTATTGTTCATTATGTATGAAAATGATGTCTCGATCTGTCACTCAATGAGTTCTTGTGTCTGCTCGTGGACAGCGGCGCAGGGAGAGAGACACACAGTCGTAAAACAATGTTGTTTTAGAACTGCGGCGGAAATGTAGCATAATATCTGCGAAGACTGCGCGGTCTTTCAGACGCCCACTGCTGGCCTCTTCTGTTGAAGTCTGATCGGATGTTTAGATACGAGAGATATTTTCCAAGATAAGCGAGTCGACAAACCCTCCTTGTAACTGAGAAGCACAAAGAGCGTCTCAGTTCCCTTCGAGTAACCGGTGGCGCTCTGCGAGAGAGCAAGTCTAGGCTGGCTCGGCCAGAGATGGCAAATTTGATATTATGCATACCATCAACATATGCGTGTCATATCACAGATTGCCGTCTAGCTCTTCAGTCGCCCGGTCGGTCCGTCGCATGATCTGCGGTCCACCCCGTCGTATATCGAGCGCGAATTCTGTCCGGTAGCGTGCTCCTCCGTCCAGTACAATTGTATTGAAATCCGGTGCCCACCGGGGAATCTATCCACAACAATGTCCTGGATCGACCCCGTGTCAATAGTACGGGGACGATACCTCGAGAGCCTCTAGTCTGCTGGCTCCAATCTGCCTATAGATGTTCGCTTAGCCGAATTTGCGGGCAATTCGGTTATGGTACGAGAGATTTGAGATGAAGGCGGCGATAACCCTTCTCAATCAGGAGACTGGCGACGGTAGTCTCCGACACCTGCATAAATGCCCTCCGACTCGTCGTCCTTGATATACATACAATGGTTTTAAGATTCTCCTTGATAAGAAGATCCTCCCGACTGAATGAAAGTTGACTCAAACAAATACCTAGTCACATTGATCCGAAGGAGAAGCCGCATCACATGGGAAGACATCGAGCTCTCAACCGGCAAACCACTCTGTATGACGTCTATTCGTCCCAGAGAAGCGTTTCTCTAAATCGATTCGAGGTTCTAAAAGAAATCTCACGTTCAGGGACGCGAGCAACGGCTCGGGGGGAAAGCGATGCGCAAATTCACGGCCCAGAGCTTCGTGGTAGATTTCTGGTACCGAAATCACTCCTGGATGGACAATTGTCTATTCCAAAGCGCTTCCTCGATTTTCTCCCGTCCGGAGGAAGAGATCCCGACTCACGTCGGTACTCGGGAGGAGCTTGGACCTGTCCACTTCCCTTCTTGGAGTCTTGGAGATATTTCGGAATCTCGAAAGAACTCTCAAGTCTTCCTGCTACCAGAGAGACCTCTCGGTGCCACCGGGCTGTCTCATCTAGGTATCTGAGGGCTATCACCCAGAATGGGAGCTCGAAACCGGGACCAATCTTGCACAAGAAGTAGGTCTCGCAGGAACCAAAGCCATTCCACGGACTGCGGAAGCAGGGATCCCGTCCTATGAGAAATCGACATTTTGGTGTCCCTGGGGACCCTCGCTGGTTTGTTCAATCTTCCCTCTCGGGGAATCGGACGGTTCTTCTCGATTAGTCTATAGAAGAACCGACGGGTTTTCGAATAGCCAGCGCGTTTGTCAGTTCTCGCGCACACGTTCTCAGCTGCAACGACGCCGCTCGTGCGCGATGCCACGTGGGCTCGATCTCTGCTGCCCGCAAAATATTCCTCACGGCCATGCCTCACTGGAGAGCAGGTTGTCGGCCTCGATCCTCCATGGTGCATTTGCTCTCTTTATTCGCCCTCTGAAGCATAGTGGAGAACGATGACCGGAACGTTGAACCGGGGTTGTGTGGTCCAGCCCGGAAAACTTCTGGCCCAGTGAAGAAAGTTCATGAATCGAAATGTTAGTATAGATCGGAACGTTCGCAGGGGGTTAGACTGTGTATAGACTCGCGTTGATCCCTCATCTCGGCAGCTAGAGCGCGCGGGCGAGTCAGCCAGCCGGCTAGCCACCGAGCTGGTGAGGGAGGGTGAGAAAAGAATAGGAGGAATAATTTAAACACATTGATTCGAAGTTATCGTGATCTCCTGCATTTGGACGACCGATGGAGGCTCCATCACCCAACTCAGAGAGACGCCCGTCATTTAAAAATTAGCCTTTAAGAAAAACACCACCTACTACTAACCCTATCTATTGAACGAAGGGTGGGGTCTCCGAAAAATATTTAAATTTTCGCGTCTATGCTGATTTTCGTGGCGATAATTCTGCTTGAACACTGCTAGAATCTGATCCCTATAAGAAAATTGTGCGGCGTCCGGCAGCTGCGCTTGCCCTAAGCCCGACAAGGGGCACGGAAGAACATAGAGTCTGGGTTTTTCGGGAAGGATTCCGCCAATGATTTCATCATTTTCCACCTTAAATCATAGTGCATTAAGCCGTCAAAGGGGCTCAAGGGTGCCTCTCCCTCTGTGAATTCTGAATCGATCGACGGATATTCAGGGAGAGAGGGAAACCGTTTGATGTCCTCGGGTGATAGGCTCTCATCAGCACTGCCCAACCGTTTCCGCTCTTCGATCTGGTCCATACTTCGCGCACGGTCTGTCTCATTTCTCGATTGTGGCCCGGCACAAGAAGCCGCGAGGATCCGCACAGCGGCGAATATATTCCGCGCTTGCCATGCGTCGTGATTTCTGTCCGGGTGTTCCGAAGACTGCATCACTGTCGAGACTCTTACTATGGGAGTTCATAATCTCTAATGAGGGGTGGTATCATCGCCAGTGCGCCTATAACAGCGGAATGCGCTTGATGGAACAACATCGCCACCCCACATCTCGGCCTGAACGGGGACCGGTCCGATATCCCAGGTTGCCGAGTGAAGCGATCGGAATCATCTATTCAAGACTCCGGATCAGAAGAGATGTGCTACCGAAATGCATTCCGAAGATGTGGGTCGCTCATTGAACGGGGTGCTCGCATTCAACGGCGCATGAGCTTGAAGCGATTGAGAATCTGGTCTTTGACGACAGCTATGGATTGATTGGAAACTCCTAGGGTAGATTTCCGGGAGTCTAAGACTCGTACGCTAAGAAAGACTCGGAGCCCCTAAAGACTTCCTGGAGAAAAGAGTTGTGTTTGCGTTCGATGAGGGTTTAGTTTTCTCATCGGTGCTATTCCGGCAGATCTCAAGGCGAAACTCCCGAGGTGTTCGACCCTTCTCCTGCGAGCGAGTCCCTGGGCGAATCAGCGAGGGACAACCCTCTGGGGAGAAGGATCGAACACCTCAAGTACTTTGCCTCGTTTTGATAAATTAACGACTCGGAATATTTGTACATGAGCTTCAGTGAATTCATCTGCGAGTCGTTCGCGCGCGCATCAGGCTCATAGTCTCCGGGTGATCATTGCACAGATTTCGTCGCAGTCGGAGATCGTTCACGGGAGCTGACAGGAGGCTCGCGCGTGATGCCCTGGCATGCCCCCATCGAGCAGATCAGGAGTTCTTCGGGTAGAATCTCTTCCAGAGATCACAGCTAGGCCTCGGGAACTGTTTCTCGATAGCTCCTGAGCCGCTTAGTTGAACGTATTTATAAGCGGGCGACTCGAATTTCGGTATCGCGAAGTCGCGAACCGGTTCCGGTGTCCTGAAAGCCATGTAACCAAGATGTGATTTTTTCCTCGGCGACTGCCCCATTGAAAGGATGGAATTCTCGTCTACAGGCGTTGGCATACCCTGATTTGACGAATGAGGTCACAATGTTCATCATCATTTTCGTTATAGAGACGTCGTCCGAAGCGAATCTCTCTGGGAATCGTAAGGGTTCCCCGAATAAATAAGGTATGTCATCGAAGTTCGTTGCGCCTATTTCCGCCGGGTTCATCGAGAGGAGCGGCCTGTATTGGAAAGATATAGTCGCCATACTTATTGGGTTGGGGAATCACGAAAATATAACGCCGGAATACTATCGAGGCTCCGTCCACGGGATTTCGGGGGTTCCCGATCTCCTCAAAATAATGTCTCGCAGAGCGTACTTGTATTTGAATTCGTAGAGGAACGCGTTCATGGGTCGGTCTCCGAAGGATTCGGCGAATATTCGTGCCGGGCACGTGACGAATATATCACCGAAAGCCTGTGAGAGGGCCTGTCGGATGTCATTGGGTGGGTCGCTGTCGTTGAGCTTGCCTGCGTACAAGAGACGTTTCCAGGCTTTCAGTTCCTAGCTGCTCTGAATATAATATCGACTCGATGATTCTGAAGACCTCTCGAGCCAAGAAGAATACCAAAGTAGAAATCCATGAGTAGATCTGTAGCGTCGTCCGGGAAGAGGTCCAAAACTTCCGCTAGAATCGAGCGGGCCTCGCTCAGAGTCAACCTGGATTCGTTGGTGAAGAGATGCGGGAAAAGCTTATAGGTTTGCATGTAGCCTTCATCCTCCGTGAAAGCTGAAACAGGGAGTTGATTAGTTCACAAAGGCCTGGTTACATTCTGCAAATACGTTGACAACAGATCAGATAGCGTTTTTCTCATCATGTTCGGGGAAAATGAGGACAGACCAACGAGAACATCGACAGGGAGTACGTGACCGTGAGCGACCGCCATGACAGGGTCCATGGGAACCACCATGTCCCTCTGCCGAGGTAGAAAGCCGTAATAAGAACCATTCAGAATGCGATGTTCTGCCTCAACTAAGCTCGACGCGTTCACTTTCATCAGACATTGCCCAGTTTGCTGCAGTTTTTTCCCGGGATGTAGTGATGTTGGGACACAGCCGACCTCCGAAGCTAGCTTCCGAGCTCTCGTGATTGACTCGGTAGTATCCATGGGATCAACCAGCCAATTAGGAGCCCCTAAAAACAAAAATGTTCGCATGGTATCGACGCGTCTTGCGAAAACGCGAAGTAGAGCAAATCTTCTGAAATTCTTCTAGATTGATATCGGGCTCCTGATAGACACTCACCGCTCAAGAGAACGGCCTGTTTCAGAAGTCCTTTACAAAGGGGAGACAAGAGAAGCATGCCTAATGAAACGGCTCCGGCTTCTTGACCCATGACGGTAACTTGAGAGGGATCGCCACCGAAGTATCCAATGTGCAGCTGAGTCCATTCAAGAGCTCTCACCTGTCAGTCAGAGTTGGAGCTGTGTTAGTTCCGCGTCCAAGCGAGTCTGCATAGTTTTCGAGGGGATTTGCAGAGTTTCGACCATTGGTCAAGAAGCGCTATTGCGGCCCGTGTCGCAATGAGAGATCGCGGATAATTATTAAAATGGGGATATATGGAAATATGGATTCCTTCATGAGGTGCACCCCGCTGGCCGGCTCAGAAATCGACGTAAATTGGTCTGGGGTATGAGGAGATCTCGAAATCTGGGATTCCTGCGGTCCCCGCTGGAGCAAAGTGGTATTCGGGCCCTGCTCCGCGTAAGCGCTATCGTCGATGAATCTGACCGGTTGAGTGGATGTGCGATCGCTCACCTGATCATAGAGGCCCATGTTCCCCGAGATTTTCGAATTGAGCTGGAGGAATCCCAAGGACCCGAGCCGATAATTCACAGTCACGACTACGAGATCACCATAGGCTGAGAGTGTCCCCCCTACAGAGGAAGACGGACATTGTTATTATTTTTCAAGCCGGGTTCCAACAGTGGGTGGGTTCGTGATCGCACCCCATTTATCGGCCAGTCTCAATAATGCTCAGAACTACGGAATTACTGTTTTCAACTCACCATCGTATACTTCAAGCGATGAAGAGCCGGAGCGGAAACCGCCACCATGTAGAAAAATCAACACCGGGAACCTTTCAATCTTAGATCGCCCGGTGAGCGGCGTCCATACATTCAGATATAGACAGTCTTCGGAAAAACTTGTGTTCTTTTCTGGCAGCCACGGAAATGGAGGAAGATCTTCGTTCAGCTGTAAACATGAGGGTGCCATTCCTTTCGCCGCCCGGAGACCCTTGGTGAAGTTGACTGGTTGCGGCTTCCGGAATCTGAGTTTTCCTGAACGTTTGCGAGATCAGTGCTCCAGAAGTGTTCAGTGGAAACTATCGCCGACTCAGCTATACTGTTTCTCGAGAAAAAATGCCGGTTGGGATCGCGAGCTTTCACGCCGATATCTCCTTGTCGTACAAGAACTCACCTTCAGGTGGTCGCGCATAGGGAATTCCTAAAAACACTCGGATCTGTTTCCCCAAAACAGTTTTCACGGTACCCTCAGAGGCAAAGTCGTCTTCTGAAGCTATAGCAGGCGCGAATGCGAACACAATCACACAAACTAGATGCTGAGATTTCATTGTGGACCTCGACTAGTGAGACCCCGAAATCACACAAGACGCTCGAGCAGCAGACTGAAAAATTTATCCAAAGTGATAACACCCATGAGCGTAGCTTGAGCGATTGTGCCGTTGAATTGAATCTGTTTCTTTGTTTGAAATGGTTTGCGAGAAGCTTAGCTTCCCGGGAAGGGAAAATTCAGAACTCGGACATCAATCGAAGCATGACTTAAGCATCGGCCCGATAGCCACCGCCGTGTGGGACTAAACTTTTATTTCCTTGTCAGCGACTTCCAGATCTGCGGAACAAACGCCGTTTTTTTGTATTCAGGCGAGGATCCAATTCATCTTACTTCGATCCGTTCCGATTCAACGAATTCTACACTGTGGAATTTCCACCGCTACCTCGATGGTTGCCGAAGAGTGCCTATGAGAATTCTCCTCAGAAACCTGAATACAGTAAACGCTCGATTTATTTATTGAAGATATCAAGGACCAGGAGCTTGGTGAGCTATCGCAAACTGTTAAAAAATGGAGCGGTGATGCTTTCGCAAAGGAAGGGACAAGAAAATCACATGGTCTCTTTGTTCATCCGTATATTGTCTCGCGAAGAATCCAAAAATACAATAAACAAATATAAATCTCTCTGAATTCAGAGAATCACACTAACGTTCTCAGCATTGCATTATTAGGCGTGTTCGAAGATCCTCGGAGGAGGGCTGTCCCACCCTTCAATCGCTCCGACTCTACAACTTCCGATTTCGTATGAACCAGTGGTTCTTGCACATGGAAAATTTCAGGGGATGCCCGGGAAGATTTCGAAGTGTTTGTCGTTTTCAGCTTTTCGGATTCGCGAGGATGATTTCAACGAAGGCGGAGCGCTGACGAAATGCTTGAGATCGATACCTGCGTCGGCGCCCCCGTGTATGTATTGGAAAATATCGAATCCACGCACAAGCACCTCCGTGAGCTCGGAGCGCCAACATGCGCAATGTCGAACGGCCCTCGGGACAGGGTATGCACGGATTTTTCCGACAGCTCCAAGGGATGCACGGACAGAAAAACGTTGAGAAGGACCGGTCGGATGATCATGAGCGCCGGAGCGAAATCATGGATGGCGACCCTCAGGAAGAGAACTTCGCGAATCGACCCGAACTTTCGATTTCACTCTCACGAATGCACAGCGCCTCTGAGCCAGGGCAACTGCGTGTGTATAGTGTCGTTTACTTCTATTTTGCTTCGAGAGTCTCCAACACGCTGCTCCTATGGACATCAGAGGTTGGCCGAAAGCTAGAAGATTATCTACTTAGTCGCGTTTCCCTAAATCGAGCTTTTTTTCTTTCTTCGAAATCCAATTCTAGCAAAATGTCGATCCAGTGGCCATGAGGATCGCGAGGCGAGCAGCTAGCCAGAACCATCAGCAGGGTTTGGACTGAGCTGAATCACGAAATCACTAGTGAAGACATCGACGAGGTAGATTTCAATGTTTAGTCTTCGGAAGCTCTGTCGTCAAGTTTGCACAGTTTGAAGGAAGCTCGAATTTTTTCTTCGCTTTCGTTTCCAATTCATTCGTGATGTTGGAGCTCTTGATGCCCGCGGGGTTCCGCAGCACCGTACAATTTTTCGAAGGGAAACGAGTCTTGGCGACGGTGATGTTCGGCGAGGTCGCGGCCGTGCTGTTCTTGCTGATGGATTCTGAACCTGAGGATTATCAGGTGTCTCTATTATCGACAAGCATACATTTTGTGAATGGGATCGCTGTTCATCAACGCTGACCAAAATGCTGCTTGAGCTCGGTTTTCAACATCAAGCGATTTTCTAGAGCCGCGAAGCGCTCCTCACCTGTCTCCCCCTCATCGTTGGCGTCTTCGTAGTCATCGTCATCCAGGGGAGGTGGATGAGGTCTCTTCGCAGCGGCCCAGATAGCATCCAGGAACGGTACGTTCACATGAACCCTGGAAATCAGGGTGGCATGAGATATTAGGTCATATCATGTGGGATTCATCGGAATCTTCCAGCTATGCGACGAGGTGTCGCCTATTAGAAGGGATTTCCACAGATATTCACCCTGTTCCCGCAGCTGGATGTGTCGCAATCCTCAACTGAAGAATTGTCCTGCATAGAATCAAAGAATTAATTTCTCGGCTTTCCGAAGAACCCAATCTATCTCCATAAAATATCGGAATAATGCATCCGAAAAACGCATAACGTTCCTCTGTCCTCTGTGCAATGTTTTTTTTTCAGCTTGGATGGCTGACGATGCTCGGGGAAAACACCCCGATACCATTTGACGAAGACGTCTCGAAAAAGAGGGAAAGCATGGGCCACCGAGCGGCTAGTCTCGCAAGAAGCTGCCTAGCTGGCGGGCGGCAGGCGAGCAAGCGAGCGAGCAGGCCAAGTGTCCTTACACTTAATACCCACTCCATCCCTCCATGGTCCCGAATACACACGAGGCGATTAGTTGATTGGCGCTGAACACAAAGTGGATACTTTGCTTGCATCCCTGCGTAGGCATCTTGTGTGGGACACGAAACGACGATTGTCGTCGTCGCCGTTCGACCAAAGTGATGGGAGCATAAATATCAATAAGCGTCAACGGGACAGACTTCCGAGCTTCGTTGCACCTATGTGAGCTCTCTATTCGCGTACTCATGTTCCTAATGAGAATGTGGTAGTCTATCAGTCTGAGCAAGTCGGCCCCGGAAACGTGTTGTGTTCGAGCCCCTACGCATCTGGATCGATGATTCGTGTTTCCGCGCTTGGCCTTTTTCCCTTGTACTGCCTCTGCGTCAGGGTCCGGAATCGGGGAAGTATCTGTCAGAAAGCGTTGGGTATCCAGCCAGCGTCAATTACAACCAAGGAGTTATTTGAGTTTATCTCCCAGCGGACGGGAGCGCCTGTCAGTGAGGATTCGAGAAAAGAGATAAATGGTGTGAACAAACATCGCGGCGTCCCGGAACGACACACTGGCTCTGTAGGTGCAGGATCAACTACATACAGTGCTCCAATAAACGCTCTCAAGCGTAGCGCGGGAAGTGATTTTTCTCTCTGACATGTCATCCCGGGACAACGATCTCAAAATCGAGACTCCGACAGAGAGGTCTCTGTTTTTTTGCGAGATCCACTACGTCCTCATTGATGGTGGAAATTCAACGGGGAAGGTCGTCATAGTCGCTGACTTGCAAGGATCACGACGAAGAAATCAATTTTTTCCTTTGTCTGATTCTCCAATCTGTCGGACCTTCATATATACTGTATCTCGGCACACATCGACTCTTATCACTGCGTATCCACGAGATAAATGTGCCAACAAGCATGCGATGGGTCCTCAGCTCAGAGCTCCTCTCATCCCGGTGGTTCCATCTCACATTTCTCTCATATAGCCATTTGGAGGTGAGCAGGTCGTCCCTCTTTCCGCCGTTACAGTGCGTTCGATTCTGAGTTCTCCTTCCATCTTCATTCAATGCCCGGGCATCGGTACGAAGGAGCGGGTATCCTTCTCCCGCTCCTTCGTATTCTCCTTCTCGTCGGCTGCGGAGTCGTCTCCTCGCAACTTCAGGTAATCTGGGCTTTGTCTCTTCTATATCTGTCTGCGAGCGCGGCTGTGTGATATGTGTCTGCCCTTGTCGTCGTTGTCGAAAGAGATGGAGGAAAAACGAACCGGCTCCATTTAGAGGGGGCGGCGGCGGCAATGGGCGACCGACGGGGGCAGTATACAGGGTCGGAGAAGGGATGGATAGATAGGGGAAGCAACGCCGACTCGAGGATCGTGTCTGCGGATCCATGCAAGAGGAAGGCAGCACACACCCCGTCTATGAAACATGCGCCGGGCTGTATGCTGTGCGAGGTGCGCTTCCGACTGAGTCGCCGAGAGACCGACAAGACAAAACAGACGGACGGACCGACGGACGGGGAACTAAATGAGGAATTACTGTCTAGAGATTTATTCGTCGAACTGAGCCCTTTCCTCGCTTTTTTTCAGGCGAAGAAAAAAGAGCGGAAAAAGGATAAGGCGAGCGGATACCACCAGGGCGACGACGGTAGCAGCGGTGGAGACCGGGCGGGAACTCGGCTTCGAGACGACCGACGGCTTGAATGGGAAGAGGACGGGAAGAAATGTTCGATAAGCGCGCGCCCGCTCGCGCGAGTCAGGACCGAGAGAAAGAAGCAAGCTCAAGCAAAAAGGACGACGACAACAACAACGACGACGAGGGAAAAGGAATTGAAATCCCCCGCGTGAAAGGAAAAGAATTGTGTCTGGGTGTGTGTCGGCTCACGCGGTCCAAATAGACGGAGAGCAGTGCCAGACACCCTATCCCTCGAGCGCGATTCTTGGTGACGGCCGAAAGAGACGCGAGCTTCGATATGAAGAGTGTCGTCTCATCAGAGATACCGGACTGTCAGTGCCTTGAAAACGGATTCAAACTTTTCAATAAGTTCCCCAGCTCGTTCCGCTCACGTAGTGATCCATCCGAAGTTTCCGTCCAGAAGCGACGCTGGAGTGAGAGTTCCGGGCTCCGGCTGCTCAGATGGAAACCCTCGCGGGCAACTCCAGGTGTTCGGTCGATTCCCGCGAGCCAATCGGGAGATGACGTACATGACTCGAATACTTCGCGAATCAGACCTCGCGGGAGGGGAGCCACCTGTCTCACGGGCGGCTGTACTCCAGGAGAGAAATAATCACAGTGGTGGTGTCTATGACACTACCGCGGAGATGGCGTGAAAACGTCTCCCTTATCTAGAGGGTACATCCATGTATTCAAGCAGTTTGTCCAAGCAGGGCTCGTGCAAACCCTTCTCGGTCGTTGAATCAGCTTCGAGTGGAGACTCCTTGGAGACAGACGAATTCCACTCGATATTGCGAAGCTCGTCGAGGGGTGACTTGACTAAATACTGAATACTGTAGCTATCCCCGCTGATGATGATTTTCCCTTCCGAGTTGACATGCGATGCGTAGACGTCATCTGGAGCTCGTCACAGGGATGGCATCTAAGTGTCCATTTACACGGGCACCCTCATCGCCTGGTCAATGATACCATGAGGAACCTTTGAACGTAAGCGACGGATCTGCATTGAGGGTATTCGCGGGAAAAACAGCCTTCCGGGTAAGGGATTTGAACCCGACGAGGTCGACGGCTTCGGGAGACAAACATAAGCATTCGTCGTACTTTTTGCCGGAATTTTTTTTGCTCGACAAACTCTGACACGTCGTCGCGGAATTTGAACTCGGCCATCTCCTCGCCGGGGGAGTGCTCCGAGAGCAGTTTCGCATCGGAACGGTCGCTGACTATAAGTCTCGCTCGAACCATAGTAGCTCGCACTCATTGCACGCATATCCGCACTCATTCTCTGCGAAGTCACGGCAGATATACACGGATGCACATTCCCGGACCTTAGAGAGCTCGAAGGATGTTACCGGATCCCAGGTGATCGGCCTTCTCGAACTTGAAACGATCGCAATATCGAAGGCAGATACATCGATGTATCATACATACTATCCCCGAATCGGTCGAGGTGTTCCTCTCGCGCATGGAACACTCCTCGATGTCCTACATTCAAATGCCAATTCTATCAGACGCGCTCCATCTTGGCCTATCTTCCTGCATCGTCGAGAGAAGCTGTTATTCACTCGTAATTTGGGAGATCTCAAAGGGTTCTCTCGAGGCCGTGGAAGATAGCCAGATCGAGGATAGGATTCCACTGAAATTGAGTGGTTTGGACCGCCATGAAGCTGCCAGTGTTGTCAAACGAGAACACGATGCGTGCCGCACAAGCGAAGTTATTTTGCCCCGGAGCAGTAGCAAGGCAGGGGCCGGGGGGTGCTGGAGGTGGGCCCCGTGTGGCATAATTTCGAGGCTTCAAGGGCCGGTGTTCTGAGGCAGAGCAACGAATCAAAACTTTCGCGAGAGGAAAAAAGGCCAGGGTCGGCACTTCCCTCGACTTCGCTTTAAGGAATAGACGATTGCGACTTAGTGCCCCGGCGGCACCTCAGCTTGCTACGGCAGTGCCCCGGACTCGGACAATCGTTACGCACAGGACGAAGTACACTCGAACGATCGCCATAGCCACACTGACGACCATATACGACAGAATTCCGCCTCGCGATTCCAGCCGGTCTCCTCACGGAATACCCCGGATTCCTGCCGTTTCGAGACTGCAGGATTGAACAAGCTGACCAGAATGCGGTCGTAAGGGCGATTCTCAAAATCGCACGAATGAAGCGCTGGATTTGTGCTCCCGGTATGCTGATCTTTGCGAGCGAGACGTCAGCTCGAGATAACTGGTATTCTATGTATAATACACAAGGACGCATCTTGAAGGGGATCACAGGTAGTGGTTGTTAACAGCGAAAGTATTCCGAGCGGTGAATAAACTCGTTGGATAGCTTGACCGAACTCTTATAAATCGCCGATCTTGGCTGAAATCACCCGTTTCTAAGACTCGTCTCACATCGGAATCGGGCTCCACCGTGAGACTACTCGTCTACCTATGTCCGTCGCTTTCACAACGAACCCTGCCGTCCGCTTTAAATGGAGATTCCAAGAGGGATCGCTTGAGCATCCTTACTCGGTCGATTCGAGCCGAGAACCTACTTACGGAATGTCCATGAAGAGTCCGAAAGGCCTGAGCAACGAATCCCCTTTCTGAACCACAACGTTTATCGGTCCAGCTTGTACATGCGTGCCGCCATCGGGTCTCGTCATGACGTTCACCGGCAGCGCGTCATTGACTCTGCTAGTCGCCGAAGTCGAAAGCAACTGGAAGATGGGAATTCGTATGGCGAGTTCGAGTCTTTCTGCGTTCGCTCTAATGCTCATGGATTAGCTCGATCTTCGAGAATGGCTGCGTCAAACGGGCGGTTCCGCACACCTGTGAAGCTCACTGGCTCATTTGATTCTGGACGAATCTTCTGGATGATTCACAGAAGCCGCTGAAGTCGATTTACAGCATCTCCCGAGCTCATAATCCGATATAACACTTGATATAACAGCTTAGATGGGACTACCCGTAACGAAAAGGGGAATGATTCCTCATGTACCGTTGGAATACTCACAAGGATGACTGTTTTCAGCATGATGACGTCCACACTTTCTGCGGCGTTCGCCTTCGTCACACCAGAATACCAGAACCGGTGTCGCTCTTGCTCGTGCCGAATTTTCCCCATATCGAAGCACCGTTCCAATCCTATCCCTTTCCACCACGGTTTCCGAATTCCTCCCCGAGCCCGAAGGTGACTAAACTCATGAGCTCAGCTCATTGGTCAGACATCTGAATACAGCCAAACTCGTCAGCTTTTCGATTTCGGGACAACTTGAGCGATACCGATTTCCAGGCATTGAGATCGCCGTTCAGATTCGTGAATATTCCATTCATGGAGACAGAAGCCGTCGCAGAAATAGGCCATATGTAAATTCGAGCTGATGGTATCGCTCCGTGTGTTGTAATTCGACTCGATTCGCAAGGTTGAGCATTCCATGCTGATGACAGAAAGAAGGAATATATGATAGTGCAGAGCTCGCTGATCTATCTCTCAACAATTTCGGGAACCGAAAGTCTATCAACGTCGATGCGTCATGAGGTCAACGGCAGATGAAACTCGGGCCGCTGATCCTCTTCAAAATATGGTTCTCATCACCTGTTCTCACCCTCTCGTGCTTTTGGGAGTTCCGATTCTACTGATTGTGAGTCCCGGGCTGTGTTTACGACTCGGGTAGAGTGCGTTTCGTATGACATGGTCAACGAGCGAGACATTCTATCCGCTTCGACTTCACCAGCCAGGAGCACTTGAACATGCAATATACCGCACCCTTTCGATCTCATGGATGGACTCAATGATTATCATATTAGGGACTCCTCATCGTGTTTGATTGACGGCCCCCGCTGTACGGACCTACGAGGGAATCGATCCCCGGAAAAGGGCAGCGGAGGGAAGGGTAGCGGTGTGAGTCTCCTCGGAGTGATATATCATACATTGGTGAGCACCTCGTCATCAAGCTCTAAAGACCTTCTTGTGAGGGTTCTGGCACCGGGATCGGCTAACTCAAAGCACACCCCCGGAGCGTCGGACTCCGGCTTCACGTCCCGGAGTAGGTACGGATCAGATAAGTATTCGAAAAGAAAGCGAGAGATCCTCGCGGTGGCCCGGGAACCTCTGAGAGTTTCCACGCCGCGTCGCCTCTCCTCCATTTCCTTATGCAACCATGGATCCAGAATTTCTCACCAGGCTCAGCGGGAAGACCACCCGAAGGACGATTTCGCATGTCGCATCCACGAATCTCCTGCAATTATTCGCGGAGCCCTCGTAAATTATCGTAAAAAATACGGGACAGGGGGAATAACAATATCCGCATTTTGTGGAAGTTGAAGACCTTGAGCGTTATATCACCTGGAGCTCCCAAAGGCATGGTCTCGGGAAACAAAGAGAAAACAAGATCAATTCTTTGAATTTGATCGGAATTCTTGAAGCGTGATTTGTTGTCCTGACATCGCAGATTTTCCTCTGATCCCATCCAATCGATTATCCAATGACGCTCGTTCACAGATGGGAAGCGAATCGAGATGCTCCCGAGAAGTACGAAGATGTCACGGACCTCTCGCACGAGCACCTAATCATCGTCGAGCATGATTTTCTCTCGATTCGATTGTCGCAGTATAGAGAACGACCCTCGAATTCCTCCCCCACGAGACGCTCTACAGGATTTTCCGTGTCGCTCAGACACGGAGAACGCCGAGGTTCAACTACATATGACATGTAGTGATTCTGTGATGAGTTTCCCCGGGGATGGGAAGCTCCGCTGGGAGACCCTTATTCTCATCCGATAGGATATAGGATGGATCGAAGCAGCAATGATGCAGAACCGCGATCTCTTCAGGAGAGGGTTGTGCGTGTGTATCGTGCTCCAGGAGCAGGGAGCCACGGAAGCGAATATCGAAATCGCAAGTTCCTCTCTTAGTAGACGATGAGTTTTGAACTCCCCAATCGGGAGCATCCTCATGGGGGATTCCTCGCGGCCGAGGATCGAGGCATGAGGCTGCTCAAGAAGAGTATCTCCCTCCGATCGAGCAGCCTCAACGTCGGCGTTTCTCCATCCTCGGTGGGAACTCGTCGACTGGAGCCCGCTGACGTTCTCCGAGAACTCGGGCCACAGCAAGCTCCACATCCGATTTAATCGTGGGTGTTTCTATCGTAGAGCGTGTGATGATCATCAGCAGAGAAGACCCTGGGTCAACCTTCAGCTCAGTCAGAATGAATGAATGTGAATAATCAAACATGCTCCAATTGATTGATTCCGAGAGATCGAGCAGACAAATGGCCCGATTTCAATCAAATTCTTCCGGCTGTCGAGAGTGCGGCTTTCCGACGGAAGTCCAAACAGAGCTCTATGATACGGCCATGAGATGTGAGCGGAGGAATTTCAACTACTCATGCCTGAGAGTCTCTCCTCAAATTCTCGCTGAGAACTGCGGGTCGGAGAGCGACCGGGAGCGCCATCGGAGCATCTGTGTGGGGTGGTGCTCTCGTGTCGGAACCGCTCACCTGTCGGCGAAGAGCGCTTCTTCACGCAGTGAGTTCAAGATTATCCTGGATTCGGTGTCAATTGGAATAGATTTGTTGATGAGACGATTTTGGTCACAGCAAACTTTTCGTTTCGAACGGAAAGTGGCTGGGCTTCCGAAGACATATCCTCCTAGTTTTCTCCTGAACGCGACAATTTACCCACGGACCATCCGAATAGCTTCTGTGCCTTCAAATACTTCCCCTTCATTCAGGATGAATATCCCTGATGATCTGACCGCTCGTCGGTTGACGTAGAGATCCATCCCGCCATGCTACGGATGGTGCCCCTCGCGGAGAGAGTGCACTCGCATCGCTGAGCGATACCAGACACCAGAGATGAGCGAATCCGCATGTCGTATCCCACTGCACTCGATGTACAGCGACATGGTGAGATGGTCTTTCCCGGGATAGAGCGCGACTCCGTGATTCTGATGTCCTCGCGCAGAGGTCGCCCTTCATCTCAATCTTTGAATTTCAGACCTCAAACCAAGTGAGCTCAACATATCAAGTGTTTCTACTGATACTGAGTTTGAGTCTCGCCGGCTTTTCGATAGCGGAGCCACCTGATATCTTGGTGGTGATCCTAGCCTCGAATGAGGAGCATACACTGCCTATCTTCTTCGGATGTTTGGAAAACTTGGATTACCCCAAGAAATCCATTGGTGAGTCGAGTCCATGTTTATGCGGAGGTTTGGAGGGAACGCTCTCAGGCACCGATTCCAGTGTTCTATGAATTCACTTCTATGTCTTATTTTATCTGTTTGGCTGAAATACAGAGCTGTACATCCGTTCCGATCACAACCATGACAACACTCCATTCATGCTGGATACGTGGTGCGCGGCGAGGAAATCAGAATACGCTGACATCTCTCTCGACATCCGCATGCTGCCGACGGTGAGGCGCAGATGGGTTCTCATTGCTTACGTTTCATTGGCTGAATCCCGGTTCTCTCGGAAGGAGAAATCATACTTGACTATTCTCATTTCGGTTCCAGCATTACGACGAGAAGGATATCCATTGGCCCATGTCCCGATACAGGACAATGATCGAGCTGAAGGAAGACGCTCTGAATTACGCGAGAGAGAAAGGCTTCGATTATATCTTTTTCTTGGACACAGACGCTTTCATCACGAATCTCGATCTCCTGAATGATTTGATCTCAGTGAACAAGACCATAGTTGCGCCCCTCCTGCAGTCTGCGTCCTTGTATAGTAATTTCTGGGGAGATATGGACAAAAAAGGGTGAGTCCCGATTCTCGGCGCTTCGCATTGAAGCATCATATTCCGCTGCCTTCGCGAGCGGAATGCATGGTCTGCGGCGAGATATATGGAGTATCAGAAGCTTGAACACCCCGGCAGGTATTACCTTCGGTCGACAAATTATACCGAAATAGTTGAGCGGGGGATCGTGGGAAGCTTCCCAGTGCGGCTGGTCCACTCAGCCGTTCTGGTCAAACTGACGGACGAGGCATCGACAGCTTTGACGTTCGTTCGAGAAAAAGTCGACAATTTCGAGAGCATTCCTCAGGACGATATCATAACATTTGCTCGCTCCGCGCAGACAAACAACGTTCCTCAATACGTCACAAACGAGAAGGTGAACTACAATCATTCGAATTTGGCGTTGTGTAGCTCCATCGTCCGGGGCCCTGCCTCGTATTAACAGAGAACCCCGTTTCAGGAAAATGGATACATGCTCCGGTCTCCGGAGTCCTTGTCCCAAGAGATCCAAGATCTTGTGGACCTGCAGATAGATATCTCCCGTAAACAAGACCCCCTACCCGAATCAACCGTTCTCAAGCCCCTGATCAGACATCCAACGCGAGATTCTCTGAACGTCGACCGAGTCTACTTGATCAATCTCGATCGACGCAACGACCGTCTGAAACGGATGAAGTGAGACCACAGTCCCTGATTAGCTATATATGCTCCAATCAGAATCCTGGGAGCCCCACTCCATATTCTGAATTTCCAATCATACCCTACTTTCCCAGTTACTGCTTTGAGAAACTGGGGATTATGGCTCAGCGAGTGCCTGCCGTGGATGGTCAGGCCATATCCAATGAGATCATTGAGTCTCTTGGCATACGTCAACTGCCGCAGTTCCGGGATCCTCACAAGAATCGAAACCTGACGTCCGGTGAAATCGGCTGCTTTCTCAGTCATCATAAAATCTGGCTGGATATCATCGAACAGCGATACAATGACGCGATCGTCTTCGAGGACGATATTCATTTCGAGCCGCATTTCAGAAAAAGGTGAATAGCCACGCTCTCGAATCAAAATCCACGGATGTACACAACTCGCGCGAACTTGGACCTCGTGGATTGGCCAAATCGATCCTCATTACTGGAAACTTGAACCAGCCAGGTTCCTGCGTCAGTTTCGACAAGTAGACGATGATGAGTTTTCCGCTCATGTCAGAACTTCGTGAATAGCTTGTGGAGCATGACTCAGAAATCCCACGTCTCCCGAGTCACCCGTGTACTCACCGGGATACCCGCGGGAGGATCATAGACGCTTTCTCTGAAATAGAATTAGCTCTGTTCTAACGGTGATGACTTCTCTCAATTTGAAGGTTGGCAGAGACGCTAAATGAAATCCGCAATCAAGGTCACCTCGACTTCGTATACTTCGGGAGGAAGCGCTTGCTCAACGCAAGCGAGCCTTATCTTCACAGATCCAAGCATCTAGTTCACGTTGATTACTCCTATTGGACGCTTAGTTACTATATTACGCGACAAGGAGCCCAGAAACTCATCGATGGAGACCCGCTTCCGAAAATGGTTCCAGTGGACGAATATATCCCGATCATGTTTGATAAACACCCCCAGCATGGCTGGAAGGACTCGTTCGCCCCCCGAACTCTCAAAGCCGCATCTGTTCATCCCCTGCTCGTGTACCCGACCCACTACACTGGGGAAGAAAATTATATTTCGGACACAGAAGACTCAAAGTTGCTCGAGCCCTTCCATCTGGACTCATCTGTAATACCTGAAACCAGTGCCAAAGACGAATTGTGACGATAGTAGAGAATGATATAGGGATATACGGAATAAAAATATGAGCCTATGGGACTTCATCGCCCTAAAGATAGCTCAAAGCCACCGGATCGGTAGTGCGGGGATGCAGGAAAACAACGTTCGTATAGTATAACAAGAGCCCCAACTTTATTCTCATTCAACCGATGAGCAAATATTTATACAATTCACATACAGCACCCGTAGCTCAATCACGACGGCTGCGACTTGATTTACCTGGAAAGGAAGCATCGGACCTGCGGCTAGAAACTTGCAACAAGGAAAAACTTTACCCTGCCAGCAACTGTTCCCACTATCACCTGTTATCTATGAACGTTTTGTTCCAAGAATCACGGCATCGGGAGAAGCTTGACAGATTTCCTCTAAAAGAAGGGTCCTCTCGGAGCATCCAGAATGCGATGACTTACCTCTATGGTGTTTCCTAGACGAGTAGCTACAACTCCTCTCGTCTGATGAATCTCGGCTGTCCGAGGACGACCGTCTCCGTCTCTTATCGCGCCGCTGACGACGTCGGTGGTCGCCGTCTGAGTCACTGCTGTCTCTCGACCGACTCCTATCCCTTCGCTTATGCTTCCGATTTCTTCGATCGAGGCTATTTGGAGACCGACCGTCCCGCTCAGATTTGTCCCGATGGCTGTACTTTTTCGATGCGTCAGTTTTGCGCTGATGGCTCTCTTCATCAGATTCGACGACAGCTTTCCTCAAATTACGGATAGTTGACTTGAGGTCTCGTGCTACCGGAAGCCTCGGGGTCGGCGGGGTCGGCGGGGTCGGCGGGGGTGTCGATTCCTTAATTGGGTTCGGCTTACAAACCTCCACCTTTTCGCCGTTTTTCCTTGACTTCAAGATCGATAGAAACGCAGCGAGCTTCTGCTTCCGTTCGAGTTGCTTCTTTTTCAGTGGATCCTCATCGGTTTGATCTGGAGCTGGAGGGGTGAGTTATTAGAACCAGGACGAGGCTTGACATGGAGAAAACAACTCGTCATCAACTTGAACTCACTGCTTGAAGTCGGACATTTTCCCGAGGATTGTTTCGAATCTTCCACGCAGCAGTCGCGTGATTTCGGAGATTCTTCGCCGATTTCGAAGATTGCATCACTCTTGCTGCGCTCTGCTTCACTTGGTCCGTCGTCCTGGAGCGGTGCGACGATTGGATCCAACCCTTCATCAGGAGTTTCGCCGCGTTTCGGAACGATCTCCGATTCCTGGACATCGTTCTTGATCGCGACGTCGTCCTCGTCATCGTATAGCGACGGCAAGAGGGGTCCGATCAAACTCTGAGCTACCGTGTCTCCCTCAGGCGCCGGGAGAGGCTTTTCCTGACTCCTTATGACAATTTTCAGCTTTTTCTTCTCGACCTTACGGATCTTGGGGGTGTTCTCAATGGAAGTGTCGTGAAAGGAGTTGTCGAGAGCTATGCGTTCCAACGCATTCGGAGACTTGGGTTTCACCGGCGTTGTCCCCGGTGGGGTATCGGCGCTCGGTACAGGTTTAGACGGAGGAAACTCTTTCGCAGAACGGCGAAACTCTTCTATTTTGTACAGATAGTATTCATGGAACTCATGCCCCGGCTTGACGAAATCAAATTTCGGATCTTCTGCGAATGACAACAGAATGGTTAGAGCGCTCATAGATGATCAGGCTCGGCTGTTAGACGCGAATTGCCGCCGCGCTTCAGTTTCGAACATACGTGCTTACAATACCTTTCGCCCGGATGGAATCTTCGAAGTCTTTCCCATTTTTGGCAACATACTCCGCCATTTTATCGACTATGGGTTGGACGTCGGGAGGGGGCGGCATGACCTCGATGAATTCTTTCAGAGTATTCAGAGCGTCATCGCCATCTTCAGATTTATTCTGTTTTTCGTCAACATTCGGTTTGATCTTCGACACCAATTGAGAATACGCGCAGTTCGCCTTATTCGTCGAGCTCTTGAATAGCGTTTTCAAATCGTCGGGCGTGCTGGTAGCTCTGACGGAAGACTTCGCAAACAAGGAGGGATGGAGATAGCTGTCAGACGAGTCTGAATCTGAATCGCTGTTCTCTGGAAGCGGATCAAAGCGCTCATTATCGAACAAGCATGTGAGGATATTCATCGCAGTGAGGGGCTTCAGCGGCTCGTGCGATGCTGCCTTACCTTCGGTATCAGTTGGGCGAAAGGAACCTGATTTGATTTGTTGTATTAAGAAACGATAATAGAGATTCAGCCGATGCTCGATATCCATGAAGGCGAACTGCGGATTGTCTTTCTGCTTGGCTTTTATCACAACTTCTATTTGTGCGCCCTGACGGGCGATGAAGGAGGCCGTTTTCTGGATGATTATGTGCTCTCGCCGAGTGTCAGGCTAGGAACGACAGGATCATTGAATCGCTTACCGATGGTTTCCCGGAGAATCGGAGGGATAGAAATTCGTAACGAAACTCATCTCCTTCCACTCGAACCAAATCACTCACCCTGGGGACTGTGACCGGTATGCTAAGACCTCTGGGTACCTTGTACGGCTTATCATCCGGATCTTCGAAATCATGGGGACGATTCTCGACACCAGCTTTATCCTCGAAGGTTTCAGCTCGGTTCTCTTCGTAGTTGAAACCTATCTCTTTGTAGTGTCCCTCGACTGGCGCTGCCGCCCGTTTGAGTATTTCCTCTGAAAAGTTCACGGGTTGGAAGAATATTTCAAGACCGGAAAGTCATTCCGACTGATACTCGCTCGGAATTATCGGATACGAGCCACGAGCGAGAATATTTCTCCTCGCCAAACTAGCAGTCACCTCTTGCTTCGTCATCATCCAAGGAAAGCCATCTCTCAGATTCCGCGAGCTCCTCGTCTGGATCTTCGAGGGGAGGCGAGTCGGCCGTGGATCCATTCGTTGGCTCGAACTCCTCGAGCGAGTTCAAATGTCCGCGACCATCGTACCTTTAAGAATCACGGACCCAACCATTAGATACACCAACAACACCTGAGCGATCGCGTATTCAGTGGAGTTTGTCGCGATGATCCGCGAGAATAGCCCTCCTCCCCCCGCCCCGATTCTAAGACTTCGACGAGAAAATTGTCCCATGAAATGATACAGGCTATCTACATGACCGATTCATCATTATTCCCAAGTCGATCAAGTACAGGCTTATACATGATCTTCGATCATTCAATTGTACATCTATGCCGCAGTGATCACATTTCAAGGTAGAAACGGTATATGACTAGAGTAACCTTACGTGTTTCATTGGACCGTAGTCCTACTTGCATTCAGTCGAAAGCTGCTTCATCCATCCTTGAAGGCAACACGACGATTGGGCGGTCTGCTGGAAAGCCACTTCATTTTCAAGGCGTACCTAATCATTGACACAAATCGCATCAATATCAGCAACCACGAGTACAACAAGGGAACCGCCTGGTCGGGACTTGAGAGTTCGTTCGAACGGTCCGGCCGAGAATAACGAGCTCTCTCTGTCTGTGGGAATCGCTGCGAAGTTCTCTCCTTTACTCAGGAGAGTGGTTAGATGTGGCTTCAGAAATCACGGGGCGAGGCAAGTGAATACTAACCGATCGATTGTGATCGTTTCATCTCCCATCCATGGAATCAGGGCATTTTCGACTTGTCGAGCCTTCTCATCGTCGTGGTACACCTTACAGGCATAGCCGAAGATCAGGAGATCGTTGTCGGCGGCCATCAGAAGGCACCGCCGTGGCGGTTCGCTTCTAGTCGAGAGCAATAACTGTCGTTGATGACGGCGTGTCCTCTCGGTGATTCTACCGAAAGCTCAGTATCTCCACAAACAGCGCTCGACACCGCGCCGAGAGCGAGCGATCTCTCGGTGTGCCTCGGTTGTACAAATCAAAACAAAAACATCATCATCAGATCGTCTGCTCATTTCGGACAGCGCGCGGCGGGAAAACGGGACGATGCCTTTGTCTTAGGCGATAACACTCCAGGGGAAAACGAGGCGGGGGCTCAGTCATGACTGGAATTTCGAAGGAGATCTAACGATTAGCTTCGCTAATCGCGAGGGCGACTCAACATCGTCGGCCGAGGGATGGAGGTTCTGAACGCACCCCGGGGCGGAGAGATTCCAATGCAATCCCTCAAAGATAGGTCTCGCGGAGCCTGACCTCACACCTACTCTATCCTCAGACGATGGCACCGTCGTACAGAAGATGATCTTGAAGCGATCCCGAGAACTAATTGGAGCATTCTCGCAGGAGAAGGCTCCGATTGAGTCGGAAGGACTTCTCTTCAGGCCCGAGCTATTCTGAACCATCTGCCCTCCGCGATCTCTGAGAAAGCCGGGGAGAGAGGAGACTCGATTCAGACGGTCATGTTGGTCACATCATATCAGGCTGCCCCGTGGAATGGCTGTGAGTTCGCGGAAGATCACCATGCGCAGGGATAACGCCGTGCAACGAGATGCGCGGAAAAGGACTGGTTCATGATTCATGATGATCAAATATTATTGAGAATCATGCGCAAAAACATTGAGGCTCGTCCAGGTTTGTGAAGTCTCGACGGTGTATTCTCCTGTGAGACGGGTTCGAAAGGCAGTCCGGATTTCATACCAGAGTCTTATGCAGAGTCAGTAATCAGATTCAGCTCACAGTCCAGATATGGACTGTAATCAGTGGCGGCGCAAGCCATTTTCTTTCGGATAGCTCGAATTCCTCGGATATCGCATCCCCTCCGAATCAGGGAGCCAGAGCGCTCGGGGGCACAAAGATTTCTTCTTATGAGTCTACAGTCATTCGTACACCTAAAAGTATTTGTTATGCGTAGGCACATGCAATGATACATAACATAGAGTTGAAACAGCGGAGACTCCCCTTGTTATGAGAGCCTGACACTGACAGTCATATCACTCGCGGAATTGAGGACTGGTGTTTCTAAGCGCTTGTGGGCGATCCACGATTTCTCGTGGGCTCGAGAAATTCTAAACGGCATCATCGGCAGCAGCAGTCTGAATACCCCGAAACCGATGGGATCTCAAACCTGGAAATTTTTGGGAAGCTGAGCTTCGCGACTCCACAGGTTTTGGAAGCCATAGCCTCTGAAGGTCCCCACTGGCGCCGCCACTGACTGTAATTCCAGTGACGAGCCGGTGCGATTCGGCGTGAGACGCAGAGGAATCGATTGGGATGTGTAGGAGCCGCCCCCGAATTCTCAGCTGTTGCCAAAGATCATCGACATCATTGTTTTCTGTTTTGCTTTAGCTCACAGACTCACAGATATCTCATTTTCGTTGAGTTTTACCCCGCGGTCTTTCCCTCACGCCAGGATTTCCATATTTCGTACGGGCTATAAACTTGAGACGATCACCTCGAGTCTGTAAGCTTTTCAACAGATCGCCATGGAAGAAGAGAAGGAACGCCTGCACGACCCATCATCAGGTGCCGCCGACACAGATCGAGCGACATCCGAAGAGGCAGCTGAAGAAGAAAAATCGGAAAATGTGAGCGAACTGCCTCCTCATCACGACAGTTTACGCTTCGAAGCAGCGTCATAATTGGGACTGGCGATTATTTCAGAAGGAGGCTGCCTCCAACGGAGCATACGAGGGGGAGAGCAATCAAGAAGGAACGGAGACGGCGAAAATATGCGCTGTAGCCGGCGTTTGCACAATCAAGTTCAACTCAGTAGAGCTGCACAAGTGAGTTGTGGCGATGTAGCCTAGGACCTTCGCCTATTGAACGCTTTCTCCCCCCATGATAAAATTAGGCTCTCGTGTATTGAACAGGAAATACTTCGACGCTGTCAAAAACTTCCTCGAGCATCTGTTGCGCGAGTCGGCTGAGGACCTCACTCAAATGTTCTGCGTGGACACCACGCGGACAGAAAACTCTTTGCCTTTGAAACAATTGTGAGTCCATGGAAGTCTCTGGCCAAGTCTCTCATTGTACTGCCCGAGAATTTTCTCGTGACGGTTTCATCTCTTTCTAGTTACATGAGTGTGAACAACAACTCACTGCTAGATGAGGGCCTGGGGAGCTCCCCGAAAAGTGGAGGGAAGAACTGTTTTAATTGTCTTGGAGATCACCACATAAGTGAGTGTCCGAACCCTATCGACAGAAAAGCAGTAGCGGAGAATCGCCGGAAAATACAGGCGAAACAAGTGTAAGTTCGCCTTGATTGCATCGACATCATGATCACTGCAGCGTTTGGATATTGGGTGAATGAGTCCAAGAGAATGTCAATGAACTCGCTTCATAATTCCAGTGGCTCGAACAGTCGCTTCTTCGAAGGAGGAGACCGGGGTGGTCGTTTCACGCCGGGTAAATGGAGCAAACGATTATTGGAAGCCATGGGAGTGCGCAGCAATGAAATCCCCCCCTTCGTGTATCGTATGCGTGTGCTCGGATATCCTCCTGGTTGGCTTTCGGAGGCGGAAGAAACGGATTCGGGGCTCAAATTATTCGACGGCTCTGGCAAAGAAGGCATGTGTGGAGAATCCTCTGCTCTGAATGAGTGTTGAGAATTGGTTCCCGATCGAACGTATTATCGAAAGAACGGAAAGGTTCTTCATGAGAGAGGATGATACGAGAGCCGTTTTATGGCGCAATTATCGGGGACCTCATCTGCGATTTCCCTCTACAGTGCAGAACCTTTCGGGCGAAGAGGACGGCCTGATTGAAGAAGATGATGAACCCATTATTCGTTATGATTCTGAAAAACTAATCGGGGTCCCCGGATTCAACGTCGAGCCTCGTCCTGGCACAATCGACGACTGTTGGAGACTGGGAATGCCTCCGCTCCAACCCCACCAATCTAGGGCTCTCGCCGTCGCCAGTATGAATGTGAGTTTGGTGACGGAATGCTCCGAGGTATGAGGGGTCTATAACGGGAAGAGATGTGCGGGCGGCGATATCTCCGATGAATTCCTTGCAGCGAGCGAGGGATAAACCACCTAAGCCACGCAAGCTGAGGCTACCCCCTCCGAAGAATTCCACCGAAAGTAATCCAACTACGCCTGTAAGTAAATATTCGAGCCCTGCTCGGACCGCTCTCACGCCTCTCTTCAAGATTCAGATAATGACTTAATTTATAGACGGCGAGCCGGGCCTCGCCTCTGAAACGGCCTGCCGAAGACAGTAATAGCACGGGAGACGTGGATGACAACCCGTCAAGTACCAAAATAGCTAGAATGGGAGAAGTTGAGGAATCAGGTGAGAGCTCAGATCTTTGATAACCGAATCGTGCGATCGGACTCTCATCGTTTCCATCTCTTACGACTGCGGATGTTCTCCTCCCGCAGGTCCGGAAATCGTGGCAAAATTGTCAGTAACTCCTTCGAAACCCATGGTGGGCACCCCGATCCCAGAGCCGATATCGAGAGTCGAGACCTTGCCTTCAGCGGAAAAATGGAGTGAAGGCGTAGCAGAGCACATCCCGTATGAGAATCTACCCGGAGCTGTCGGGACCTTCGAGAAGATGCGAGGTCTCTTGCTGAAAATCAAGGATCTCAAGAAAGCCGATTGAGACTCACTCCATCGATTGTGGAGTTCAAGCCTCCGATTGGATAGGCTTCGGGCATTATTTTATACCAGACCCTGAAGACTTCAATGTATGGCGAGAGCTGTTCCGCCGCGTTGTTGAGCGGAAGCACCAAATCCCAATTGTATATATAGGTACAAAATTTTGTGAAAGTAAATAAATATTGGAGAACTCCCCAGTGTTCTAAAAGGGAAAAGGGAAAGTGGGCCAGTCCCCACTGGCAGTGTTTTCCACTTCTTGGGCGGAGTGAGCCCAAGCAGTTTTCTGGAGAGCTACTTTCGCCGGTCCGAAAAATGATGCCGCACCTGGTCTGCGTGAGTTCCAAGAGACCCTGAGGAGCGAGTGTCTCCGGGACGGCGCGCGGAGATCTCCGTTGATGTTCCGTTCGGTCACGACAGCGAGCGCTGAAAGAATCAGAAATGAGCTCGAATTCTCTAAATTTACCGTCAGCCGTCCGGAAGCATCCTCCAGTTCGACAAGACTCTCTATGTCCCTGCGTTGGCGCCGCGCCGTAGAGCCAGCACTAGAGCACCGGCGCATGCTTGTTTACCCCGGAAATGTCGTCTGCTACCGACTGACGTGTCTGTCTTGGAAGGGAGATACTCACTGCGGCAGCCGGGAGTGACTGTTGTAGTTTCAAAAGGATACTCTCGAGAAGCGAGTTCGTTTCTGAAGTCCTCCCGAAGAGGGCCTGTAAATCACCATGCCAGCCGATCCGTTGTTCGATGTGAAGAACTCTTTCTACATCGGTAACTATCAGTCATGTATAAACGAAGCTCAGAGAATGGTACCGGAAAGTGTGGAGCAGAAAAAATACCTGGACGTCTTCCTCTATCGCTCGTATATCGCTCTGAAAAAGTACAATCTCGTCATCGGGGAGCTCGACAGGTAAGTCGAAGACATCAGGCCTGGTGTAATTGTATGCATACTGTATTCTTCCCCTGCACCATTCTACATCGATCAGGTAGAGCGTGTGCCTTTCGAAGATTCGAAGAGATTTTCCAAAGAGACGACATTTCCAGTTACTCCGGACCTGATGAAGTCAAGAGCCTCCGGCTCCTCGCAGAATACTTGAGCGCTGAACCAAACACCCGTGGGGATGTTCTACGAAAATTGGAGAAGCAGCTGGGATCGTTCTCGCCCGAGAATACCACGCTGCCTATCGTCGCGGCGACAATTTACCTCCATGAAAACGACATTGATAGCGCTCTGAAGGTATGGTGGTGGTGGAAGGCGCAGCTGCCGCAGGCCCGATTTCAGGTTCTCATTGGCTTCGGAGGGCTTTCGGATTTTCCTTCGAGTGAGCGGATTTTCCTTCGATGCTGACAGAATATTCGCTCTACAGGTTCTGTATAACTGTGACACCTTGGAAGCGATGGCGCTTTCCCTTCAATGCTATATTCAATCCGATCGGCTGGATCTAGCGACGAATGAAATGAAGAGGTAGGCCACAAGATCCTTGGCTTTCACGCTGAAAATAATCGATTCTCTGGCTGTCGCTATAGAGCTAATCGGGGAGAGCTGAGTTGCGGCGAGGCAGGTCCGCAAAAGCTAGTCTAATCAGTTCTGCACTTCAGAATGGTGGCAAAGGACGAAGATGCATCACTGACCCAGTTGTGCTCAGGCTGGCTGTATTTAGCCATAGGCGGCGACAAACTCCAGGAGGCATTTTACATATTCACGGAAATGGCTGAGAAAAATTCCAAAACTCCACTCTTGTCTGTGGGTCTAGCCAGTGTCCTGATTGCGCAAGGTAGGAGGGACAGCTCTTACCGGCATTGATTACGAGTGCATCCGAAATCCTATGGATTGTCAGAGTTTACAGGAGTCGTTCAAATTCAATCAACTCCTCAGGAAAATGCGAAGAAGCCGATTCCGTGCTGGCTGAATCATTGGAGAAGGATCCTAATCATCTTGAGACGGTCATCAATCAAGTTGTCGTTTCTCAGTTTCTTGGGAAGAGCCCCGAGGCGAGTTCCATTCCCCGCATCAATGAGCTTTAGGACTCCAGATGACAGATGGATAGATCACTGCAAGAAACTCTGCTCTCTGAGGGAGGATGACTGTTTTCTCTCTTGCAGGTTTGCACCAGACTTCTGTCGCAGCTGAAAAACTCCAATCAGAGCCATCCGTTCGTTCTCGATTATCAATTGAAGGAGCAACAATTCCACTCATTATGTCAGTCATTTGCGAATTGAACCTTACCCCCCGTGTGTTTTTGAGCGTGTTTGAATAAATGTCGCCCCAAGTCGTACACCCCAAGTCGTGTAGAATACCCTCACCTCTTAAATTCCCGGCCGTTCGAGCATCAGAACTTCTCTCGTGCATTCTTCATCGTCGAGGGCGGTGAGCGAAATCAGATTTTGGTATTCCAAGCTCGTTTCACCCAGTAAACCTATCGTGACCTTCGACCTACCAGGTGATCTCTGGATACCGCTCGCAGCATGGTAGACCCAAGTATACGGGGATCGACCGATGGGGCATACAGTGTCGTTGTCAGACTGATCTGCGTCTCCGAATGGATTAGTCTCGATGAATACCTGAGCCCTTCCCGTGAGTCTCATCCCTCACCCTTCCGTAGGTTCCCCTACCTAGCGATTTCGGCCGACGAGTTTTCGCTTGTCCCGCGACCGGGGAGTCACTCGTGGAACCTCCGTCCTCTATTTCGACACGCTCCATGCAGATGAGAATCTCGGTGCCACATTGCATCTGTGTGAAGGTACCTTATGTGTATAAACGGCATCCCATTGGCGGGACCAACCTCAGACTCATTTCGACCAACTCGACGGAGAGCCCCCCGATTTATTACGACACAGATTCCTCGAATACAAAATGTGGACGGTCAACGCTGAATGAAATGGATAAAGCCTAGGTTGCCATCGGTAGATCGTTGAGGCAGCATGGTAGAATCTCGATGGGGTTCCTCGAGGATGAATCGAGAGGCGAGAATATCAACTCTTATGCACAACTTTCAGTAATTATCCGGATTCGGTGGTGCAGTATTCCGTCTCGATGATTCGTCGGATACCTGTTGCTTCGAAGAGAGCTGTTGGCTGGCGATTTCCGCCAGAGCTTTTTGCACTTGTGCCAGCAAACATTCCCCTCGCATCACGACTTCTTGCAAGCGATTGGCGGCCTCATTATTCTCGATTTCAAGCTTTTGGAGATTATTCGCCTGGAATATATGAGGTAGAAGATTTCGATCCCGAAACGGCTCCGCGTGTTCGATGCATGGATCCTGTATTCGAGCCCGGCTGACTCAGGCAGTCCCGATGCTGCTTGTTAAGCAATTTTATGACTGCTCGAGCTCTCTTCGACTCACCTGCAATTCTGGGGCAGCTTCCTCTCCGGGAAGAGATTCGATCAAAACGTCCATGTCTTTGGCAGTCCGTGCGATCATGGTTGCGAAAAGTTGCGCGTAATCTGAACCGAAACAGGGCGATTATCGCGCCTGTAGCTAGCTAGTCGTTAAAGAAGAGTTTTCCGCTCCGATGTCCCCGATTCTTCCAAAGGACTCACCTTCTTGTGGTTGGGAGCTGGGCTTGCCCGTTTTTTCGAACTCGGGGAATGTAGAAGGCTGAGCGAGCTGTTGGAGGATTCCGATACTGTTGCAGAAATTCTCGGCTTGCTGAAATCAAAAATTGTGATCAGACAGTCCATGGGGCCTCATTCCCGGAAAGATCATCGAGGCCCGGCTGAATATCGCGAATCGTCGCGTTGACTCTGCCCTGCACGCGCTTCTGCCCCAGCGGTATTCGAAGGCTCAAAAAGACAGAATATGTATTCGAAAGTGCTCACCAAGTTGACGGAGTCCTGGAGCTGTGTCAGGCGGTCGGCCATCTCTCAGGACAGCTAGTCGGGAAAACGGCCGAGAAGAACTTGGGAGCCCCGTATGTTTCCACTCTATCGCAGAATCGACATGTCAAGCCGTCTTCGAGAGGGAATCCCGGTCCAATGATTTGGTCAAAACCACAATGCTCAACATTTCCCGAGTTCACTGTGACGAATAAATATTTTTCTTCTCGGCTCGGCAATAATTCTCTCACACCATGCGCCTCCTCTCCTTTGTCTGCTCTCGTCCTATACATGAGCACGAAAGATTGGATGTGTCCCGATCCGTAGCTTGGCGTGAGAGGAGTGCCCCGGAGAGAGCAGAGAGCGTAACCAGCGGCGGTAGACCCCTTCTCCCGAATCCGTTCCGTAGTTCCGTCTTCAATCAAAGTAAGCTCCTCGGCGAACTTCAGAGGCACGGAAATTCTGGAATATCTCGAATCAGAGGGGGGACTTCCCCGGATATTCCAAAGATGAGAAGTTTCCCGGTCCTCTCTGACCGGTGGGGATGCTCGGACTTTCGAAACGAGGTCTCAAGCGGAAAAGGCTCCCGGAAGGAAAATGCCCCCGATGTGGTGTACTCTTACTAGAATGTTGACCTCGTCAAAGACGCATCGTACGATGAATTGAGCTCTACAACTCTTCACGACCCCGGTCATCTAGCCGGCTCCCATTGACTTCGGCTTTGTACGCAAAACCGAAATCGGCTTGCTGGCTCGCTCCTCCTCTGAAAACTCCGAGCTTCAATCGAGCCTTCGCGAACTTGATCAAGCTCCGCAGACAGTGCTGTCGTTATCGACCGTAGATTCAGCTTGCACGAAGCCAAAGACCCGAAAAATAGGGGGTTTCTCCCGATGGGAAGCTCGTTTCCCTGCTCGATGAATCGCCTCTGCTTGAGAGCTTCTCGTCTCATGGTATCACCCTCGACATCCCACTGATGTCAGCGAAACTTGGAAAGAACCCGACAATTAGAGAAGAGACTGGAAAGGTGCCCGACATTCATTTGAGGCTCGGAAAGTCGCGCCCTCCGAACGGCGGAATCACGGTATGCGGCATGTGCTTCTGTGGGGCTCAAATCGACGACGGTATGGTGCTCTTACTCGGTCGGAAAAAGAATGGTAGAGTAGAGGGCACGCGGACACCAAGAAACGAGAAGAATCACGAGGCGGGAAGTTTGGCCGTTCCCCTCCCCCACGCGGGGGAAGCTCGGACAGGTTGAGGCAACGAGGGAAATGGAGTGAGGGATATGTGGGGCTGAAAATATCGGAATGAAGGAGACGATGAACGTCGCGGACAATAAGATCCCGTGCTCCCGCAGGAATCTCGAGAAGTGGTGAATGAAGAGAAGTTTAAGCTGTAGATTGAGTTCCTGACTCCGCGTTATCGATACCAGTTGACATGTTGCTCGATGGCTTCGGAAAATGAACTCACGCCCTAGAAATGCTGATGAAGTCGCTTCAAAGTTCAGCCAATGAATGGTGTACGCCGTACGGCAAGTCGTTTGAAGGTACAATCCCATGGAACTCTCGGAAGCCGAAATCTCGTTCGCGATCTCCTTATCCGATTCGTAGAAAAGGGATCCGTGACCCTGGATATCCCTCAGGAATACCTCTCCGAGTGGACTCTCTGAGCGAAAATAATAGTCGGCGTTTTGGGAGTTTCCATGATGATCTTTGTCACCATCTATTCTCGAGGCTTTATTCGGCGTCTGTTCTCGCGATTGCGAGCCCCGCGTCGATCTGCGCAGTCTAAGGACGCCCTCAACATCCATCATCGCCTTTAAACTTCGCTCTCAGAAGAAATTTGTTTACGAAGCACTGACTGTGTCGCGTTTCCAAACGATTCGGAAAGACTATGATTTGCCCTTCGAGATACCATGGCTAGATAGCTCATCTCACGAATGCATTCGTTCCCGCTTGCACTGTCTCGAAACTTTTGAGGTTGCAATAATTGTCAATTCCTATCGCCCGCGTTTATCACAGTGGATTGAGCCTACGGTCCTGAAGCATCACACTATTCGCAGGGTGCGGCGTCTGAGGGAACATAGTGAATCGTTGTAGGCTAGATGAGCACCCGTGGGTTCGACGCTCCCTCATTGGAAAGAGAAACCAACTCGAAAGGTTCATTGCATCGATTTGGGTGGCCTGGCTTCGTTCCCTAAATGTAAGCGAGTGGATGCGCAGGAGGCAGCCATCAATTGAATCTCCTCCCTCCACTCGCGTCGGATGTCGCGCTCCGAACACCTCACTACATGGCGTTTCTGGTCAATTTAATGTCTAGGGTACAGCCCAGAGAATTCCCTTCGTTCATTGCGGATTCACTCCAGCGAATCGATGGGGGTATCCATCAACTTGAAAGCTTCGATGTACCTGTAAGAGCAGATCATCGATCACAGCGGATTCACAGATTCTCAGCTCCTTCGAGATCGGAGGGGAAAAGTCGGTGTTCTTCAGTCATCAACCATAACTCACTGGAAATAAAGGGAGCGCGCGATGAATACGGAACATCCGATTCCACAATGCCACAGCTGATGAGATGAACCCACGAAGTTCAGTCTTCCGGGAAACAATCTGGAATAATTTGTTAGAGAATCCAGTAGTACAATATATTCGGGATTGAAATCGGTCTCAACGAGTTCCAAAAGCGGAGCGGGGGACTCACCTTTCAGGGACCTTAGTTTCGTAGATGATGTAGCTTGCTCCCAGCAAGCCTATCACAATTATGTGGTGCGGGAGGGTATACTTCACAACAATGCTGCCGAGACCGCCTTGCAGAATAACATAGTGAACTATGGGCACGATGCTGAACATGACGAAGCCGCCAATCCAGATTGATCGGGATTCATCGTAATGCTCATGAGCGAATTTTTCGTGGAAGCACATAGATATCGGAATCAAGGCGATGATCGACATAATGGTCGCGTAGAAACTTATCCAGAAGGGAATAGATCGAAACTGGAGGAACAGGAACCCGACTCCATACGCGTAGACGGACGCCACGATTCCCACGAAGTCCCAGAAGTACCAATAACGATGGCAACGATAACAGCAACAATTGAAAATGTGATATATCGAGCTGAAAAGCAGCATTGCCATATAATTCACGATCATGACGCCGCTGAGGATTTTGTCGAAAGAGTTGAATCCGATAGAGGAATAGTTGAAGAGTAAGTCCAACGTGTACAGGACTAAAATGCCGATAAGAGCCACGAAGTTCGTCCATATATTAAGGGTTTCATTATTCCAGAGGAAAATTCCTCGTATGCATTTCTCCTTTGATCTGAAGGTGCGATAACCTTCTGTTATGTAGGGATTGTTCTTCATGAAATGTCTAGCGTTCGCAAAGTCCGTTGTGAACGGTTTAGATTCGTCATCAGTGCCACAGGCGTCTTCAGCTGACGGCGCCCCAGGGGGTCGCTCTGTCAAGTATCCTGAGTCGCGATGAAGTGTTTCTCCCGTGCGCTGAATCTCTGCACAAGCGCAATGAATAGATCTGTTTCTGCACCCGAGGCACAGACCTCCAGAATGTGATCCCGTCGACTTTTTCCGGTTACGCGTTGCATCCTGAGAGAGAACTTCTTCAGAACTGCATCGGTGCGGAACGAGGTTCTTTCGCTTTTCTGATTGAAGATTAGGCATGCTGCTGCCGCGTAGAAGCTGGGTCTCGGAACACTGTTTCGTTCGCGTCGGGCCCTCGACGGACACGGATTCTCGAATCAGCGACTCTCCCTCTTCTTCTTCAGGTATCGCAGTGTAGTAGCGAATGTGCACCGAGCTGTCGGTTTCCTCAGCCTTAGCGTAGACACTCCGTTCCGAAACGTCGCAATGTGTAAGAGCGATTGTGGAGGAATTGCTTCGATTGCGAATGGATGAGAATCCCGAATAGAGGCCAAACGAGATGACTGTACTCAGGATGCGTGCGAGACACTGAGGACGATGCACGTTTCTTATAGATTCCTGCTGCGGCATTGAGAGGAGAACTTGGGGAGCCAGGGCCGAGGGGGCTTATGACCGGCGCCAGCGCCGATCCAGCTCACGAACAATGACTTTTGGCAAATGAGGACACCATAGTGACTCGGAAAAGTCGAGATCGAACCGCAGATTTCGGAGCTCGGTTAAGCGCTCCGTCGTCGAACACAGGTACACTTTTGCTCTCGCGCTCCCGAGTGAAAGGGCACGACGTCTGCCCCGAACTCCTGGCTGATGTTGACAATCTGGCTCCGGGGAGAGACGTGAATACTCTAGACCAGCGGTTCCCAACCTGGGAGCCGCGGCTCCTAGGGGAGCCGCGGGACTTTTCTAGGGGAGCCGCCGAACCTGGTAGCCGCGGCTCCCCTAGGAGCCGCGGACGAATTTCTGGTGTAGGTCCGGGCCGTCGGGGTTTGTCAATTCCAAGGGAAGGTTCCGAAACGGATCGACTTCATCTGCCACGGTTGTGTTCCCGCCATTCTACCCAACTCTATCGAGGAGTGAACGAAGCTAAAATAAAATCTCACTCGCTTTCACACCACCGCACGGAGCACCGTTTGTTTCCTTGTGTCTTCCCCGCAGAGAACACTTCATCCAGCACTAAGCTTTTTCCCGTGAGCTTCGAGAAGCTCAACTCTTCTCTTCCGTCGAGAGAGATTGGACTCATTTGTTAGAGAGCTCTGGTATGCCCGCGAGGCTACCTTCTCCAGTGAGGAGCTGCTTGTCTCCGGAGATTCCCATTCAGTCTCTTTAACGGGGGATTGACGGGAGGGAGGCGGAATATTTGTAAACAATATATGTACATGCAAGTTATGAGTGCCGGAATTGAGCTGCGAATGGTCCTCTTAGGGGAAAAAATGGGAGAGCAGGTAGGAGCCGCGGGAGCCACGTGGGCACTGGGTATCCTGGGAGCCGCGGGAGCCGCGTGGGCACTGGGATCCTGGGAGCCGCGGGGGAATTCTGGGTTCGCTAGGGAGCCGCGGAGCCAAAAAGGTTGGGAACCGCTGCTCTAGACTATCGATTTCTCAACGCGAAAGAAGAATCTCAAGTGCGACTATTCTCTACGGTTTCAGGAGGCTTGTAGGTCAATTCTTGGGCAGCTCGGATTCCGTATCCCGGAAAATTACTCGGCTTCATTCCGAAGTTTTACTGAAAAAAAAAAGAATCAGACGATCCATGAGTCCCGATGCGAAGGTTGCTCATATCCCCCCCCCTGGGGGACCACCGATACCCCAAAGGATTTCCACCGGGACGTTGAGCCATGAGGAAGATCAGACGTCGTCGTCTCCTTGTCGATCTCAAGAACGCAAAGACTCGCTCGGGCGCGCGATCCCCAGAGACCACCGTCGAGTTTCCCTCTCCATAGAGGAACAGTTCGTTTTGAATCATTGGCGCGTGGCGATAGTACACATCAGAGGAATCCCCAACACTCCGTTCCAAGAATTCCGGGGGGGGAATGTGACGAACGGACTGGGTCTATTGCGCATTCACAACATCCACACCACGTTATCCTACCCCACAGACATACTTCCTCTTCATAACCAACCCAATCACTTCCCTCAGAGAGACCAGAGAGACTGAATGGGGTAGCTTCGGATCAAGGATCCATATTTATTCAATTCCTTTGTTAATCAGTGTATCATATAATTATAATCATATAATCATCATCAGTGTATCTCCAGGAGAGATAAGAATAAACCAACAGGAAGCCGGGTCGCACTCAACCAGAACACAGACACACATCAACGGCGGTCGATCATCGACAACTTCCCCCGCTCACGGCGCCAGAGTCAATCAGTCAGGCAGCCAGCTGATGGAGAAGTCGAGCAGCCGACACACACACACTCACTGCCAGTCGACCGAGAGCAAGGTCGAGGACCGGTACACGATCACTATCGCTACCTGCTTCAGAACCTTGTCCACTCGCCCCAGGGGTTCAAATCCCCAAAGCAGTGCAGGACAGTGGCTAGGCCAGGGATCAGACCCGCTAGCATTCATCACGAACATTCTCAAGCATAGTGCGCCCGCTTCCTGGATCTTTGTTTCGGATACTTCAGCGTCTTCACTCGATCATCAAGGATAGTGTGTCACACTCTGGATTCAATCTCAGGATTCTGCGACACCTGCCAAACTGCGAATTCAATGAGCTCTTCCCCTCTCGGTCGCCGTCAATCGTTTGAGCGCGTGAAAGAGCGATGGCTCTTCGTCTCGGGTTCGCACGCACACAAGGAAGATTCACATAGTGGGAAATTAGAAGCGCTAATGAGGATTTTATTCTGCTGAGGAAAATGTTTATCGAGCGGTCTAGCGAAAATTCCGGGATCTGAAGTCGAGTTAATGTATTATACTGCGAGCGAAAGACCAGAAATCGAATATTTTGATTCATTGACTGTGGACAGCCTCGATCGTTTTCGGTGGGCATGCTCCAGTGACGGAAGAACGAAGGACCGACCCTTGAACTGTGCTGAATACTGGACATAAATAATAATTATATGGCCCAGCTTCTGTTTTCTCGAAACCCGAACTGACCCCACACCTGATGAACGCGAGCGCTTGTCGTGACCGCTAAACACATGTTTTCGATACCGCACGGAAGATCCACCAAATGATCAGGATAAATAATTCTCCTGCTCGTCAGCCGATTTTGAAGGGAATAGCACAGCTCGTTCATCAATCTACGTCGCGAGTGGCTTCTGCTGATAGCTCCTAATCACGTTTGAATAATTTCTTCGGTCTCTGGTCGATGATGACGCGGGTAGGTGATGGATATTCTCCCGTCGCACAGTGGATCAAAATGAGTTTTTAGGTGGACAAAAGTCATCTCGGAATTTTCGTACCAACTGATAGCTCGGCATGAAAAGCGATGTCTGAAAGTCGGAAAACCATAGAGATCTCGGAATTTCCTGCTGCTGCTACGAAATAAACAACTACCGAATCAGAAGTTGGAATTCGGGCATCATGTGACTCCTTTTCCTCTAATCAATGAATTTCAAAAACAAACCTCCACCCTTTCCGGCGGGGATGGAGGTTTGTTCTTGGCTCAGTTCTCGTCCGGATCTTGAGTTTTAACGAGTTTCGTACCGGATCAGACTTGTTTGAGGTTGCTTAGAAGGATGTGATATCTCTCATGGATTCTTCCGAATTTTGTCAAACTTCGCGATACCAAAAGTATAGAGTCGCCTCGCGGCCCTGGGAGCTGTCAAGACTGGGACACTCATCAGACCTCCGGCAATCAGAAAAATAAATATTGTCACCCGGTTTTACCTGGTTACCGAATAATAATTTATTTTCGTCACCATGAAAATCTCCATTCACGAATGAGAAGCATAATTCCTTGGAGACACAGAGACCATAAAACGCCGAATTCCTTTATTGGACGCCATCGTTGGACGTTCGCGGTTTGCACGTCAATGTGCAGATATCGGCAGCACATGCGCGTACTGCAGCAACGGTATCCGCTCGTGTAAGCAAAGTTCGCATTCATACTCCTAGTGGTGCGGTAAACTCGAGGACCTCTGAAGGAAAAGTCATCGAGCGTTGACCCGTAAGTAGCAGCTTAACTGAGGGTCGACCCAGAGATTGAAGTCGGGTCCTCGGAGGTCAATGATGACACTTCAAGCACAGAATGTACGGATGACACGGAGATTTCAAGCGACTCTTCGAGTGATTTCTGTTATTGACTCTAAGAAATAACAGAATGTATTATGATCGCCTAAACCGTGATTGGTCAGTTTTTTCTTGTATATCCCGACTCGGAGACACTTCGCAAAGCGAAATTTCACGAAAAATAATTTTGTCCACCTAGAAATTCATTTTGATCCACTGTGGGATGGGCCGGAAGGGCACATTGCGCACCCCCAGCCGACGACGTCCCTGGAGCCGATCTCGATCGAGCAGCTGACCGAGCTCCTCGGGTCTCGGCGGAAGACTCGGCGTCTAGATATGTGAGTTTTCCATGTCCATATTTATCATCTTACTCTGATTCTCCTGGACAACCGCGTCCCGCTGATCGAGTCAGTCTGAGGACAATCTTGCGCATTTTAGCCGGCACACGTGGTCCAAGAGGTAGCCGCCGCCACCTTTTTGAGGGCCGCCTCTGGGGTACATGATGAGTGTTTCGCCGGTTTCTGCTATAGCTGAGAGATAATGTGTCTCGGCCACCTCGGAGTGGAAATCGCGGAGAGAAAGAGGAGAACTTCCCATAGCACACCGAGATGTCTGTAGCTCTGAAGCTTTATGTTCAGAATCTCCCGCAGTCTCGACCCGCAATTATCTGTGTGTAGTCATCATTCTATCTTGATCTCAGGTGGGACTCCGCTGCCGTCGGACGGCGACGCAGTCGACTCAGGATCGTATTTGAACGCGGTAATCAGCTTAGTTGTAGGCTCAAATAGGACCGGGAACGGTGGAAGTTTCGAATCGATACTTGACGTTGGAAGGAACGGCTCCCTGCTCATTAGGAATCGCAGTCAATCTAATTAAAATATTTTTTCCCCGAGCAGGACCCGATCTGCATATGCGCAGTCGGTTGCGCGGGCCTCTTCATCTCCTTCGTCATTTCTGCGGCCTTGGGTAAGTGCTTTGAGAACTCGTGAGAAATTTCTTCGTAGACATTTGTCCGTTCTTGTTTAGAACAGCGGAAGCAAATCATCATCGCGTGGGGAGCCGAGCCTTTCTCCGACCCGACTGAACGGAGTCGACCAGTTGAAAATATCTTAGTCATGGGTCGTGGTGCCTTATCTATAATTCGTCGATCCGCAAGCAGCGGATCCGACCAACGTGCTTGCCTTCCGCGTGTTAATATGGATGAAAAGATACCAAGTAGTTTTATTAATACACAAGTTATACATCAATCAGATTTAGATGAGCTTATCTGTCCCCACTCTAGTCAGGCCTTACGGCAATTCCAGAGCGGGTCCCTTGTAAGCGGCCATGGTTGCCATGACGGAAGCATTACCTCTCTGTACGCAAATTGATAGCCGTTGGTAGAGGTACTCTCGCGCTCGCCTACATCCCGTCGCTTCTTCGATTAACTGACCCACTGTGTTCAGCAGTCTCTGCGTTACGGGGCCAGGGCCGCCGAGAGTCTCGAACGCCAGCGGGCACTTGACGTAGTTCGCGGCGAGATCCTCGTTCTTCTGGAAGAAGCGGCTCGGTTCTAATTTTCGTGTTTTTCCCAGTCCACAGGTATCTCTGATCATTGCGGATTCACTACAGCGAAATCCGACGAAAAGCTCGAAGCATGCGGTTCCCCTGTAACAGCCAGTTGGATTTCGGAGGAGAGCCAGCTTGAATGGGTTCTCCGGAGATGCATGTCGGCGGATAGACACGGGGAAGGGAAAAGGGGTTGAGAGAGAGAGCCGTCAGTGGCTAGAAGTGACAGCCAGCAGATTGAGAGACCGTAGCTGACGACTGGCAACTGAGGAGCCGGTCGAGGATCGGAAAAAAGAAAATAAAGTAACGAGTCGGACGGTGATTATCAGTGCGTTGTCCCTCCCCTCTGAGAGGATCCAGGTATACGTCCCTACCGGACTGTTACACCCCTAAGGCGCGTGCAATACGAACCCGAAAAGAGTCTCGCTTCTCGGAAGTCTGTCTTCGCGACATCGTGGGAATACAGGGACGGAGAAGTGGTCATCATTCGCAGAAGACAAGCTTAGCCTTCGTCTGGTGTTCTACCTGCTTGTTCTGGGGCTGAATGCTTTGTTCAGTTCAAGCTCAAGGCTGGAGGTCACCATAAGGCACCGGCAGTTAATCTGATCAGCGCTATCATCAAACATTTGTCCGATGATTATTATTGATCAGCCGAAGCTGGACGAATCGTAGCGCCGAAATCCGATATCCTTGGCGCCGTCGAGACTCTAAAGTGTTATATGAAGGACTTGCTCACAGGACAGCCTGTGATCGTTCACTGAATCAAGCGTGGATTTAATTGATTGGCCAGGGGGAGAAATCATCCCATTATAGTTTCTGTGGTGAGAATAAACGGGCATCCCCAGGATATATTTTCAGTGATTCTCCTAAGATTACCTCTGGATCATCACGATCGAAGCGGATCGAATCGCCGACTTGCTCACCCGCCCACTACACTACAGTGCAATTCCGCAGGGGTAATCCTCCGATTGTGATGGCGAACCTTATGGGGAATGGCACTGAGTGAGTCGGATTCATGTGAGCGATATGATCTACGATGGCGGAAGAGTCTGACAGAGAGCCAGCCGGCGCATCGTCTAAGTCCCAGTGTCCGAATCTGATCGCACATATCGTCTAAATGATTGTCCCTCCGGCATTCCGCGGTGGTGAACGGAAATACATCGGAGCGCTTTCTTTAAGATCAGATTCATTGTAGGATAATTCACCTTGCGATTCCCGCGGAGGTTACGACAAGGAGATGTCGATCCACTTCTCCGTATCTCCCCTTGGGGGCATCTACGAGAGCGACAGAAAGATTGGGGCCGGGAGCGAGATCTCCGGGAGAGCTCTCCACGTCCTAGTCCAGATTTCTGGAGACGAACTTGTCTCGACCGATATGTCCGCGGGTCTCACTCCATCTTGGTCGCTCACAGGAGTTCGAGAACAGCTGTGATACGATGTCTGGCGCAAGGTGCGATGGCAGGGAGCCCATTCCTTAGTGCATCGAATCATGATATATGATTTTCACGAATGCTGCCCGACCAGAGGATCCCTCAAATCATTTTCGGATTCTCCCTTCATCGGGTCCGATATACTCTTCTCAATTCTAACGCTCGGGGAAGATTTCCGGGGAACAAACCCGGTAATTGAATCGGCGAAGAGCTTTCCCGGTCGGAGCCCTCTGTCGAAACCGTATTGTTGATTCGTAGATCGCCTCGCATTCTTCTCGAGTGCTTCTACGCAGAGTCCATCATGCGCGTATGAGGGTTATGTAACAGCGATGAAGATGCGCTTTTGTCTTCGATTAACGTTGTATAAAAGGGTACGAGTCGGACCATGTTCCCCCCAATGAGCACCTGTCGATATAATGGATCATTCACTCGAACCGAGGTATTCGAAAGCTTTTTCTCACGACAGTTATGAGAGTCGCATCAGACACAAGCTTCAGTCGGTCTGAACATCTCAGATCGATTTTAATCTGACTGATGATCCAAATGTTTCTGAGCAGCACTGGAAGGCCAGAGGAACCTCTAGACAGAGTAATGTTTGCGGCACTTAATTCCAGGAGCTCTTCGGTTTACATGGAAGAGGCGAAAGATGGCCCTCTCTTGACCCTGAACATCTTGCCCCTAACTGGGCTTCAAATACAAAAGCGCGCCAAGTGGTCACGGAGGCGAACTGTACCTCATTGGATGAGAGAAAGTCCCCCGAATAAACAACTGAAGAGAAAAGAAGCCGTGATTCCTCGCTGCACGAGCCACACATTGGAATCAGGATTGCTTTGAGTGCTCGAGAGTTGCTCCGAAAGGTGAGATAGGATCAGTGTCCGCCCAGTTTTGCCGATTCAGATGCGTGAAATCGATCCGACGTCGGTGCTCCGTCTCGAGCTCCGGCACCAGGCTTGTTCAAGAGTGAGTTGCTCCATGCAGCGATTCTTTTCGGAAAACCTACGGAGAGCAGTGAGACTGGAGGGGGCGATAAGATCATATATGTTCCCGCTGTGTCACGTCCTCGGTGGAATTGCATCGTGCAAGAACTAGCTGAGATGCCGAACGTTTATTTCTGAGAAGGCGATCATCAAGCCACCGAAACGGACGCACGGGGGGTGACCTCTCGACGAATGTCTCGGATCGCCGTCAGTCTGAGCTCTCATTCCTGTCGAGATCTTGATCTGATTGAAGGCCTCTCCGAGAGAGGGTGCGAGTGTCGCCTCAAAAAGCGTCGCTCTAGCGAACTCCGAGCGCTCCGATCTCCCACTTCAGGGGTGACCTCAACTTCAGTCAGCCACCTTTCCCGAGGTGAAAGCGATCACCTTAACCTCAGTTCTGATTACTGTGAGAAAGTTTGGAGTAACGTGATTTTCTCGATTCATTTAGGATGAAGGTCTTCGTGATTTTTTGCTTGCTGGTGCCCATGAGTTTAGCGGCGACGAGGGTAGGTGTTCTTTCTTATCAGTGGCTTCATTTGGCTCCGGCAGAGCCCCCGGATTCATTCATGAGAACGCTGATAATATTTCAATGGGCTATCGGTTCCGATTGCAGACGAGACGAGCGGCGTACGATTTCGCAGATGGCGTCGATGAAGTCGTGGGGCAGGTTCGCACTACCTTCCAATGCCCTCAACGATACGGCTATTTCGCTGATGTAGACAACGACTGCAAAGTGTACCATGTCTGCAATCCTATCAGGGACTCTCAGGGTGAGTTCGACCAACACGGTCGTGAACGATCCGAAGAGCTCAAGAGTGAGCCAGGCTTGACGGGCAAGAATTGCTCTAGCTGTCCGACCGTAAATCCGTGAATTTAATGGAATTTCGTATAAAATTGGCCTGGCCGGAGGGATCTAAAAATGAGAGGAATTCGTGCAGCATTCTCTCTATTCGGAGACCTTGATAACGACGGGTGTAACGGCGTTGCACTGTGAAATCATAAGCAGTGGTAAAATACTCGTTGCCTATTCGGCGCATTCATTGTCCCCTTCATGTGTGACCCTTCCGGTTCAAAGGCGACCCAGGTCCAGCCATCGTCCATGTCCAGAGCAAGAGCATCAGACAAACCAGCTCACGCTGGCCGTCCGGCCGACCGACCGACCGGCCAGCCACCCGAGCGTCAAGCCGACCAAGCGTTCAACTTTGCGATTGTCTTATCCCTGTTACGAAAATGACGAATCGCACGAAAGCGGCATTTATTCTAAGTCCTCTTCTAAATGCTCAGCACATCGTAAAACACACAACATATTCTCGCTTGCTATAGATTCGTTCCTACGAATGTACGTTCCGTGGGAATGACGCAGAATCGTGGCTCGCCGACGACCCGATTCGATATCCGACATTATCTAACACGGCACAACCTCGATCCACAGATAATATCCAAGAGGTTCAGCACTTCTCATTCTTCTGCGGGAATCAAACGGTTTTCGATCAGCTTACCCTCACGTGCTCTCATCCGGAGGAAGCGGTGCCCTGCCCGAACGCGCCGGATTTCTTCTACGTGAACGATAAGTTCGGAGTTGAAGAGGCTCCGTTCTTGATGGACACGGACGTCGAACGCGCAGCTCCATTGAAACCGGGTTACAAGGGGACCGGATCCCCGGCCTACGCCGCGAGCAGTCGACAGGACGCTTACGTTTCGACCCCCGGCGCATTTCATCAGGAACAGAACGAGCCCCAAGATGATCACGTTCCTTCGAACACACTTCACTTCGGGCAACGGACTCAGAGATCCACTGATTATTACTAGAATAAATCTGGAATATCCAAATAAGTTCCTCTCACTTCGGACTCAAGTCTTCTCCTTTGTTTTTCCGCCCACATCGGGGGGTTTTGTGGGCGCTCAGCAGCTAGGTTTCCATCTGGTGAATACCCGGCTCGATCGTAAGGTTAACTTTGATTCGGATTTCGATCCTACGGATCGCGTAGAGAACGCGCCGGATTGAAGAAACAGGCGTTTGGATTGATATCCTGCATCTCACGGTCGACCATAGAGCTTGTGAGAAATTTCCCATCCCATCGCGGTCTCATGCCCTTGTGGGGATGCTGGAATTCGATTGCTCCGTGGGGGAAACTGCCCTGGGTTATGAACGCGTCGAGTCGAGAACATCACTCCTCTGATGTAGCAGATGTTTATTTTCGTTCCTCTACAAATATGTGATGATATCAGTGGTCATGGTTGCTAAGGTAGCTGCACTGTTTTCTTTCTTACAGAATAAATTAGAATAAATAGAGTCCGATAGTCGAAATCGATCTCTCAGTCGTGCATGTTCACAGACGATAGAGAAGTTCCGACTGGTTGCAGTCATCTCCGACGCAGTCAGTCGAATTAGTCCCGGGGTTCTCTGGACACTCGACAGTCCCGTCACCTTTGGCTAAGCAAGGAGGCTTCTCGCTGGTTGAATCGGTCGCTGGCGTTTCGGTCGATGTCGCGGGAGCCGCTGTTGATTTTGAAAGAAATCAATTTATATCATGCGTTCGTCATCAACCGGTGAGGGGACTGCTTCTATGCAAGCCCAGGATGAATTTACAGAGAGTCGCACGGGCGATCGGAGACGAGAACGCCGAGAGTCCGAGGTTTTGATGAGCGTAACTCACCTTTGTCACAGAGCCTGCCAGCCCAACCCGGATTGCAGACGCATTCCCACGGTTTAACGCAGCTGCCATGAACACAACCAGGATACGGGACGCATTCAGTGCACTTTGGTCCCGTCCACCCAACGCGACATCTGCACTCTTCGGGTCTATCACAGAAGCCGTTCTCGGGATGGCAGTCAACGGAACAGGTCGCTGAAAGGGAGCTCAATCGTCAGATAACGTCAGATGATTGTCTACGCTGCGTAGTCGAGTGGGACCTTCTTCTAGCTCGAATTCGCCCTTTCTTGATGAGATTTGAATGCGGTGCACTGAATTCAATGGGAGCGGATACTAACACTTACGAAGATGACAGAACAGACCGGTCCAGCCGGGTTGGCACAAACAGTCCAACGGTTTCGTACAGTAACCATTTATGCAGCCCGGGAGCGGCTTGCACTGGTCGCAGTTATTTCCAGTCCATCCGAAGCGGCACCTAGACAGTGAATCGATATTGCACAAGCGATACAGAGCACGAATTTGGTGTCGAGTACCGACCCGAATTACACGACCGAACTTCCGCAAAAAAATTACTCACGAGCAGGTGTCCGGCCGATCGCAGAATCCTCTGGTCGGATGGCACTGCTTTTTGCAGATGGCTGAAAATTTCAGGAGCATATTCTGAGCAGACTTCTTCTGACGGAGGCAAACTACAGACTATTACGCACACTTGGTCGACTGCGAGATTCTATCGCTCTACATACGTCGTTGACAGAAGAGTCCACTCCAGCCTTCGTCGCAATTACATTCGAAGGGGTTGCTGCAGGTCCCGTGCAAACAGCCCGGGAATTTTATGCACTCCGTGCAATTCGTTCCTTGCCAGCCGCGCATACACCTGATGAAGGCGCAAGTGTTCATCTATCTCAGCAAAAGACATCTCCCTTCAAATGTGAGAATCATCGAGAAAGAAACGGGCATGATTACCGGCATTCACCAGGTTGATTGCAGTATCCATGTTCAGCACTACAACCTTCTCTGCATTCCGCCTTATCACATTCCAGACCGGACCAGCCTTCCGAGCATATTTTCCGGCCTCCTTCGGTGCAATTGAATCTGAAAACAATATTGAAGTCTTCGAGCCGAGGCTTCGCGGGATAAACACGACTTCCGCTCAGTTATCGACTAAAATAGTACCTGGCATTGACGTCATTCAGTCCCGGGCAAGTTTCGACGCAGGTAGCTCCTGTATAGCCTTCGCTACAAGAAACTCGAAACTCGATCGACATTCGGCCCACCTGCGGATGGAGGGATTTCTTCGTTTAGAGCGCGAGAAGAGGAATCCATTTCATCTTCAACTGTATCGGAGGACCGAAAGTCTGTATTCGCACCTTAGAGTCCTCTTTCCAGTTCACCGGGGCTGAGCCGACCGGTAGACTTTTGCGGACCACAAACCGTGCCAACAGCTTCCCGTTGTGGTTGTCTTGCACCGTTCGTGAAATCGATGAATCCGTTCTCTTCTTGTCTGCTGAGAACCAGAACAGAATAAGAGAGCTCGGTGCCGGAGCGGAACAAAATGACACAAAAATACGGGATTGTCGGGAAACAAAAGCCACCTTTGATGAGACGATCCGGAATGGTGAAAATCATCTTCGCTGCCCATTCTAAAGTGTACAGAGCGGCGTTCCTCAATGATTCGACAACGCGAGTCCGCTTCCTTCGGGCAAGACGGCTCCGCTGCCGGAAACCTTCAGACTGAGCCACGGCAACGTCCGACGCGTTTACAACGAGCCATTGTTCCACTGCGAGCTCGAATTTCTCCTGGGAAAAGCGTGGTTGATTCAATTTTAGAAATTGACGAAGTACTCGAGAACGTAGGACTCACTCACTCACTCACTCAGTCAACTCACCGGCCAAGCTTGGTCGAATGTGAATTGTGTCATCAGCGGGGTATCCAGTGTGCCGTTTACGAGAACGTCGCTGACGAACGACCCGAGCCGACATTGTTTTGCGCCTTGTCGTGACAAACACGCCCTGGAAAGCATCGAGAACGAATTGTATCCCCACGTACCCGGACTCCATTAGCCGCATCCCTGATGGACGACAAGCGAGTGTTCCCGCTCTTCGTATCATTTACCTGACATATGTGTTGCAAGGATTCACTTGTGTTGCGTTGCAGAGGGTGTTTGCGCTTGCTAGGTCATATATCTTGAGATGGAAGATCCCCGTCGATCCCACCTGAAGACATCAGTTCGCCTTAAGAAAATGTTCTCAATCATCCACCGGATATACGGCAATGCGGGAGGGGCGTCAAATGATTTATGGCTCGCAGCGAATGGGTCGGATGGATTCACACCCGAAGGATTCACACCGATCGTATATCGGTACGCACACGAATTTCAATTTAGATATATTAAGAGGACAAGAGCACTGGGGTAGAGCGATTCGCTGGCGAACGTTCTGATCCATTTTGATCGTGAACAGTTTGCCCGTCCCTACGAAACACTATCAGCTCGTTTCCCTTTATCGAAGGAGACGACGTTCCGGTGATGTCATTAATTCACCGTCGTCGATTCGGGTGGACTGGATCATCAAATGAGCTCTTCTCCGCTTTCTTAGGTGAACTGTATGTCCTTTCTGTATTATCAGCCTCTCATATGTATTCCCCGCTGTCGAATGCTGGCGCCGTAGGCACATTTTGCGCGCAACGGAAGTTACGCCAAATAATAATCAAACGGCGACGTCAACGTCACATGAGCGACAAATCGTTCATTTCCTCGTGCTCGGGCGACGTGTTTGAAGATCGACTTCGTTCTTTGTTGACGTTGCTTCCCCGTCAGCGTCTTCTTTTTCCCCACTTCGGTCATAAGACTCGGTCCCTTATCTGCGCGTCTATCGATCGGCGCTAGAAAGCCGCGATGTGAATGCCCGAATTTTTCACACAGAATAGAGTGAAACTCTCGAAACCTCTCGGGGGAAGCGCCCGAGCGCTAGGGATGCCCAACGCCAACTGGGCGACCCTTCTCGGAAGACGGACGTGAAAAAAAACGACCGTGAAAAAAACCTCAATTCTGAGCGGCTCTCGATCACGGGTTGAAAACAGCGACAACTTTTGGATCCCATTCCCGCCGAGGCCTCAAGGGAAAATCCTGCCGAGGCTCACGAGCTACAAGAGGAATTCCCCGCTTCCGATACTAGTGATGTTCGCGATATTTTCGAGATTGCCTTCCAGATAGACGCGACGTTGACGCCTCGATGTATTCGGAACGGGACATTCGGACACCACTCATTTCAATATCAGCCTCATTCCCACATACGGTCACGCAGCTGTGGCTTCGCTTCCCAGATTCGGTGAAGCTCGAGGTTCTCACCGGAGCCCGTGTCCCATCCTTCTGGATTCGGACATTGTTCTGGTTATAAAACCAATGGAACTCAATTCTTTCAGACTCGTCGGAGCAAGAATATTCTCGCAAGATTCGGATTTCGGTTCCGCTTGCGGTCACGCCGCGTCGCCGCGTACGCGACCATATCGAAGGAGCAGCAAGAACCGACAAGAAGCCACGATGCGTTCAGGTGATTTTCGATGGCTCTGCGATGACGCCGGTTTCGGTTGCGATCGACTTTCGATGACGAGTAAATGCTTTGTCGGACACACTTCGAATAGAGGAGGAGGAAATGAGATCTCAATTCTCCGAGAGAAAGGTCATGAGGGAACGACTTCTCCGCCTTTCTTCTTCCGAGTGAGCGGAACGGTTGGCACGAATGACCAGTGACGACGGCGGTGAGCTCGAGCAAGGAACAAAACTGTAATCCGCATTGTTATAGCTCGATTGTTGGCGACCGAGCAACGGATCTTTGTAGGGATCACTATCCCGCGATGATGTTACCGTTAGAAGCGCATGACACGAAAAAAAGAACCCCAGGCCAAGACCGGCCACAGCAAGAGCGCAGTCAACTTTCTCTGGCTGACTCCGTCAAATCCGGGTTAGATGATTTGATGGCAGCAGTACCGAGTTATTCAGAGGGGAAGCTCCTCCCTTTGGAGTTCATCATCGGCAGTCTTCGAATGAGCTCAACAGTGATCTGCAACAGTTCTCTGCCTGGGGAAATACATCCAGTCCACAGAAGGACTTCCTGATTCATTGCGTCCGATGTCGATTAAAGAGTAGCCCTCAAGTACCTGAGCAGACGTAAATATAAGAAAACCAAAATGCTCGAAATATACATCGACATGCTCGGCTTAAGATCTTGGAACTACAGATTCCTCTCAGAGCTCCTCGCTGACAAAAAAGCACGAATCCAGTGACATAGACTACAGCTTCATCACGCCACGTTCCGCGGAAAAGATCTCCGGACGTCAAGAGGCTGCCCGAGCATTTTTCGTTATCGTCCTTCCAGAGAGCAGAACGTCCAGTCCCATTGGAATCCTAAGAGGATGCTAGCGGAACTCGGTGCTCGCCCAGGAAATTTGATGGGAACTCCAACGAAAGAGATAAGCTCCAGATAAGCGGACAGGTGAATCCAGGGAAAACAATTCTACCAAACGTGATATCTACAATATCATACCTGAATCAGAAGGAACGTGAGGCAGAACACAACTCGGATGAGATCTTGGCTGATGGCCATCTTGATGTCGAACTCCACGTAGCAGACCAGAGCTCAACCCGATCCCAGTGAATTGGTACGAGTGAGCCACCGACCGATCGACCAAACTCACTAAATGGATTATAGGGGCAAGACCTCACAAAGTGTCATCTGGAAGCATCCGATGCCCTCTTTTTCTTCTGGGTCCTCTCGCTCTGCGGTGGACCGCACACAGTAGTAGTCGGATGGACCCGGAGCTGGAGAAAAGTTGCGAGACAAGTATTCTGACAGAAACCAACCATGGTAAGCATCGGGCCGGGAGCCAACCCTCTTTTCTGGCTGTCTTTCTCCCAGCACCGCCGGTGGGTGAGGCAGAAGCAGCAGCAGCAGCAGCCACAGAAGCAACAGCAGACCGGCGACGAAACACTCCACGGAATGGAAACGCCGCCGCGAAGAATTCAGCCAATCAGCCTCCCTACCACCGGTTGACTCGCCAGCTATCCAACGGGCCGGACGGAGGAAAATAACGGGAAACAGTATGGATTTTCGACAAGGAGGAACATCGCTTCGACACTTCAACAGGGCCGTCTTCTCTATGGATATCTTCATCCGACACCAGGCACCTCCGGTCTGGGATACCGATACCGGTTCCTTGGGACGTGTTCCCGACCTCTGAGAGGATTGGTGACGTCTCTTCGAGGACTGATCTCTCGAGATTCCGGACGGTGAAAGTTGAACAATGACGCTCCTGGGCCCGTGTCCCACAAGTCGACCTGCAATCTTTGGGGTTGGCAGCTCTGGATGAGACCTATCCCGCTCGGAACTTTTCACAAAAATTCAGAGGAATACGAATTCTCCGTAGAGCTGACCCAGCTCCCTGGAACTCACCCCCGCAGAGGCTTGAGCCAAGAATAAGTAATCTTCAATCCTCATTAACAAGGCTCTACGGTGAGGTACCCATTCCACATCGAACGGCTCCCGAATTCGAATGGGGTCCCGTATATATTCCTTTAAATGAGGTGCATGCCTTCAATTCGCCTACCCTCACGAGGGATGCCCTTTGATGGATATTGGAACAAGCCCCTCAATTTCCCAATCATACTGGGAAAGAAGAATTTTTTTCTCGAGCGTAATCGAGCTTTCGAGCTTGTTTATCGGGTTTTGGGCGATGAAATACAGTTCCAAGCTTCATCGATCGCATCTATCCAGTCAGGCACATTCACTGCGACTTACATATTCTATCCGCGATTTTTCATCCGGATCGGGAGGTTCTCCCCGTCAGGAGCGTGCGCCTTAATCTTTCAATGCCGCCGGATGGTTCCTCTCAATCGGGGTATGCCATCAATCAGAGGGGATACGGTTAATCATCTTAAAAACTTCCAAATGATGTAGGAGAGGTATATATGTCGTTCGAAAATGTCGGGGCAACTCCTAGATGTTCCAGGCGTTCTTCGAATCTAGCACGATCGTTCGCGCCAATCAGTCACTTATGATCAATGACAATGTACATACATAGAAAATGTACAGTGCTTGATTAGTCATTCGATGCTCTAGCGATGTACGAGAGTATCTGCCCATGGACTACCGAAAGGTATTCTGTATGGTGTCTGTAATTTTTTATTCATGAGTTTTGGAGACGAATCGAACGGAATGGGTCCCGGTCAGAACTGCGATTTCCTGAATGTGAATATCAGTTTGGCTGAGCCTAGGTAACCCGTGCCGGCAATTCTCGAACTTCCGCAGAAGGTATCATACCGAACGAGTGGATCGATGTCTCGCACCGGGAGAGCCAGGCAGCGGACATTTTCCGGCCCGCTTACTCTGATGCCCACGCCTTTCTCATTAATCGTTCCACGCTGGACAGCTGCGAATAATAAAATCTCAAGAATCTATGGTCGGACGCGTCCGAATCGGGGATCGCTTCTCGAAAGCAGAACTGTTGAGAGTCATCGAGATATTTATATTCGTTCTCCAACTCTATATCCTCAGCGACAAGGCCAGACCGCACAGCGGCTCGAAAATCGGCGCATAGTCGGTCGCTGCCTCTCTCGCACCGATCCGAGAATGCCAGAACGCCGCGCCGTCGAGACGGGGTGGCTTTCGAGGCAGATCGGAGATACCTACTCCTGATGCCGGAATCCGAGGCTGCGAGGATGCCGCGGCATTTTGGCGTCGCGGCCCCAGCGCCATTCGGTATGAGTGGTCTTGAAAATCCGCGCACGGGAGGTCCAGAGATGGGTACCGATGCTCAGCGAAAGAAGCCGACTCCAACTTATTGAGACTAGGTAGCTATTAGACGCCAGAGCTTCGTCGTAAAGAATACGCGTCCCGCATCTAAGATGCTAGACAATCGCATCCTTTCGCCCTCTCGCTATGTGCATTGGTTGGAGGCTCGATTCGAAGGAGAGACGAGAGTTCGGTCACACCTACACAAGCTCTCATGTGAGATCGGATGATGATAGTGATACAATGAGGCGAGTAAGTCTTGCTCAGGAAAACAGAAATGGACCACTCTAAAAAGGAAAACCGACCATGCGCCCAACTATGAATCGTCCCATTTAGAAGGGAAAGCTATGATGCTAGGGCCCACCTATCAGACGGCCCTGCTTCTTCAGCACCCTGGTATCGTTCGTACTCGTCCGTTTGGGTTGGTATACGGCGATACTCGGTGGGTTTCCGGCACGAAGACTCTTATAGAATCTGCCAGGATCGGGCAGAGCCCCCCCCCCCGGATTGGCTTTCCGAGCCGAGGCGGGCATTTACAAACATTCTTCTGGCTGGATTTTTGGTGTGCCTAGGAAGCCCAGACACAACGAACACATGTGCGAACACATCATGTTTTTGATCATGTGACGCAGCCTCCTCGGCTCCATAGCGGAGAGACGTAGAGGGGAGAAAACTCATGAGAAACGATTTATGAATCTCGATTCCTGTATTTCCTCCCGAAATGTTCGGAACGTAGACATGTCGGATCGATCGAATTACGTCAGAACGCTCTCGGGTCGAATTTGAAGAGACGGCGGTCTCGATCACTGGGAGGCGCTGAGGCGGCGCTCCCTCGAAAGATGAGCTTCCTTTGGGTTCATGCCGCCGGATTTTGGTGAGCTCTCGACCCGATACAGACCTCCTCAGACTTGATATCACCTTGTTCATGGCTTGAGTTGTGGATGCGTAGCGAAGCTAGGAATCTCTCCATTCGCGAGGGACCCGAAATTCGATTGAGCACTCGCTCGGTGCAGGAAAGAGCGCCGCGCGGAATATCACTCCTCGAGATCACAATCATCACTTTTGTCGCCATCAAGCACTGAGTGTTCTGTGAGTGTTCGGCGCCGTTCACGAAGCTTGGTGAAAAAACTCCGAATTCTGATACTTCGGTCGAGCGGATATTTTCGCATCATTCACACACTGAAAGACTCCAAAATCCGATGGAGTGATCAGCAGAAAATGTGAGTTGACAACCGAAATCAACATGCGCCTTCGCAACGGAAACAGAGTCATACTCATGTCTCTTTTTCCTCGTTTCTATCATCGTGAATGGGGGATATTGACAAAATTATCGAGGAAACGTCCGAGTCGCGAAGCAATCAGGCGTGTATGTTGACCTCATGCTCTGCGTCATGCGATCGGCTATGCATCAGAAGTTAATGCTCGCAGGGCGTTGATTAGCTTACATCGGTCCTTCTGGAAACTTCGTACCAGAAGGAATGTCGCGAATTGACGATTCCGCGTCGTAGTCGCGAGTAGCGAATAATTTCGGTTTGTTTTCTCAAATGATTTGAATTGCGGTTGGCTCTTCGCGATGATGAAGATGTAAACAGTGCGATCCGACCCCGCGCCGCTAGAGGGCGCAAGAATTCCTAAACTTAGAGTTCCCGGGGAAATGTTAGGCCCGAAGGATCTGCGGGAAAGTTGAGCGAGATCGGTCGACGGAGAGATGGTGAATCGCACAAGGGAAATCCCAGAGAGTCCACGCCTCAACGCGATTCCCACTTTCCTCGCTAAAATTCAAAAAAGATATTGACCAAGCACTCGGGGCAATCTCATACGACAGAAGGGGCCCGAGACGATTCTTTGATATATCATGTCTGAGCAAGGATATTCTCCCGAGATAGATTGAAATGCCAAGCCCAATCCCTACTTTTTACTCATCGTTATTCCGGGCATTAGGCGTTATGAAACTCATGTTCATCCTTAGCCGAGAATCACTTCCAGCTCTGACTTAAAAAATCGTTTTCGCTTCCAGATGGCTGAGTTCAGGTATCCGGAATTAGCTGAGGATGAGCCGATTTTCATCTACAGCTGCGACGCAGCTCTGCTCTCGGGAAAGCCGATCGGCGCACAGCTGTGCAAGTATCCGGTGGAATACTTGCATGATATTCACGAACAAATTGCTTCAACGGCCAGCGCTGAACCCAAGACATCTTTCGATCCAGGAGACAAGGCATACGTTACCTTCGACGGTTTTTTCAGCCGTGCTGAAATTCTCGAAGTAAGAGACGCCGACTGCTTATTGGATCTGGTAGACTTCGGAACGATGGAACTTTTCCCAAAGCAAGAGATATACCCTCTAGACCAGGAGTTGTGCACCTTTCGGGAACGAATCGGAATCCAAATCCTTCTGAAGAATGACATCGAGGTCACCAGCTATGCTTCAGCCCATTTCAGTGGCATTGAACCGATTGAATTGAGTGGCAGACGATATTTCCATGGACGACTGAGCGACTTCAGCGGCCTCTCAGAGCGATCGAAGGTCTTCCAAGTGCAACGATACGTTCCCGAGAAATCGGCGTCCGCCATGCAAGAGTCATCGACGCTCATTGTGGAGGGACAAGCCAAGCCTGTCATGGAGGGCGGACCGATGTCTGCGAGCGAGCATGGGGCTGATTCAGCTGCGGATAGCCGAGCGGTATCCGTGCTCGCAAACGGACCGAAGCCCGATGCGGGCGAAATGCCAGCGCCTGGAAACGGGCCGAAGTCCGACTCGGGCGAGAGGCCAGCGCCCGAAAACGGTACACGTCAAGCACCCATCTCGGGCGACGAAGCACTGCGACTCCCAGTGAGTAGACCTGAATTGGTACCGGAGAAAGCACCGGAACCGAGAGAAAATCTCGCCCTCGCTCAGGATGGAGCAACGACGCTCGTGACGGAGAGCGAGCTGGCGGCGGCCGATGCAATAGAAGGGTCGAAGTCGTTGGACACTCAATCGCCCCCTGATACGATCGGCAACTGTGGCGGCGGGAAAAAAGCTCCGCGAGCAGCGCGAATCCCTCAGCCTGATTTGAACGATATCGAGAAAGTTGTGGTTTCAGACGTTCCCGAGCATAGCCCTCTTCGGGCAGTACAATTGTCGCGCTTCGATGTCTTGGCGCTCGAGAATGAGCTCGACGCGTTTTACGGCGACGCGAGTAATCGTAAGAAAGCCAGTGACGTCCAAGCAGGCCAATTCGTCATTGCCCCGTTTGGCTCCCAATACTGTCGGGCTTTCGTGATGTCGATCGATGGACGAGAAGCGAGCTTAGTCTACACGGACTACTGTTCGGAAATCAAAGTAGGAGTTGACGAGCTGATTGAATTGACTCCAGGGCGCTTCACCGAGCATCCGTGGGCAGCCGTCACCTGTTCGATAGATGAGCCTGTGGAGATCGAAGAAGAACTGACGCTGAAGATCGAATCCAGTTACCAGGACGAATTCGGGCTGCCCATATACACTGTTAGGAAGTACGTAGCAGATGCGGCCGGCGACGGCGATCGGAGCTGTAAGAATGACAAGATGAAGGCAACTTATCCTCCATTGGAGTTCAATGACAAGGAGCAAACACTCTATACGTCCGCTCTTCAAGGGATGTACGCCGGATTTCAACTTGGTCAGTATACCGTCGAGGAGATGAATTCATTGAACGAGAAGCTCACTGAGAACCTCAAAGAAAATGCCCCGATAGAACCGGTCGATGTCTTCGCCGTTGGAGATCTTGTTGGCATCGACCTCGGAGACGGTTTCTATCGAGGAGTGGTTTCGAAGCTCGACGGTGGAAGAGTCGAGGTGTATCAAGTGGATTTCGGCCTCGTGGACACCGTTGAGAAGAATAAAATTCGACATCTACCGAGCGAATTTATCCACTTCCCCTCGATCGGGATGCGTTGCTCCTTGAGAGAATCTCAAGTGAGTGCCCTTCCGAAGGAAAGTTTCATCGCAAGGAATATCAAGAAGAAAACGCACACAGACTGTTACGATGTCTATGAATTCGACCTGACCAGTGAAGCGGAAGAAACCTCGAATAATCACAGTAATGATCAAGTAGCCACCTTGAACACCTCACCGAACGAATCCGCCGTCGGAGGAACGAAAGCTATTCAATCCCAAAGCGGAACTAGTGACGGGATTTCCGGGAACGGGAATCGCGCAGAGTCTTATCGAGACCCTGAGCAGCCTGCGACAAGGATCCAACACAAATTCGAGAAGGAGGATTTCAATCACAACATCTCAACAAAGCCTGAGGCTCTCGAACCTGCTACACGGGCATCAACAAGGATCGCTCGGGAGCTTGATATCGGAGAAATGCCGACCGGCAAGGTATTCGAAATCGTTCTCGGATGTGATCCAGTCCAAGAAGCGCTGGAGTCCTGCTCGGCACGAAGTCCGGTCGGGGCGAGTTCAGCCGACTTCGAACCCGGAATCAAGGAGCCAGTGAAACTTAGCGCACAAATGGCATACCATCCGCTTAAGGGGCCTGATCCGGACCATGCGGCACTCTATGGAGCGCTGTCGAGTGGAGGCAAGCCTCGACGCCCACTGACGGTACCATACGAAACCGCCTCTGCCGTCGGATATCCCGAATTCACATCCGTACCTGAGAAAGTCTTCGTTAGCGAGAAAACGGATCTTGGAATGATGGTCCAGTTGAGTCGCTTCGATCTGAATCACTTCCACCTGATCGAACAGGAAATGAAAGCTTTCTTAGACAGTTATCCGAACTTGGAGCCCGCCCCGCTAGGAGTCGGGGATCTCGTCATTCTGAATCGGGACGATTATCGTCGCCGAGCTGAAATCCTAGAGGAGGTCGGCGGTCAGTTCCTGGTCGCCTGCATCGATTACGGCTGCACTTTCGTGGTTCCCGGCAATCAGTTGGTTCCCCTACCGAAAACCTTGGAGAGGTTCGTCCGTGCCGCTTGTACGCTGGATGGGATTTTCCCCTACAGCCAAGGACAGGAAATCGACCTCATCTTGTACACAGAAAATGGGAAAATTCGAGGGAAAACAGTTCCCTCGGTCAGCCCTCAGAAAAATATGAGCGACCGTGATCAGAATGAGTCCTTGCGCTCATCGCCGATCTCGATGAGCAGTGAGAAAATCATCGATTTCGATCTCAATGATGTCAGGGACCTGGAGGATCCTTGTGCTGACAGGAGCTTCGACGTTGTTGTGACGTCGGTGCATCGCGCCACCAAAGTTAGTCTCGAGAGATGAGTTGGCCTACGCATAATGATCAAATAATAATCCATTCCACTTCCCGAAGAGTGATCGGAAGGTTTAGGCCTGTGCCTGCATCCGCTCTCCACAGAACTCACGCACGCGGCTGAGAACTCCGATTCCTCTTGCAGGTCTGCGTTGTGAAGAGCCGTTCACTGGCGCTCTCGAAGAGTGTCGGCGAGACCTTGAGAAATCAAGCCCCCGATCTCCGGCCTGTAGCCTCCGCAAACCTGCGACTCGGCTCCGCAGTGGTTGCGAGACTCGAAACGGAGCCACCACGTTTCCGGAGGGCGAAAGTCATGCATTACAACCGAGCCGTGAAACTGTTCAAGTTGTTCCTCGTCGACAGCGGGATCAAAGTGAAATTACCTCTATCGAGTCTTTTCGAATTGCCTGCAGAACTCGACCTCGGGGAGATCCCGGGCTATGCTAAGATACTCAAGCTGAGAGCCGACGACTTGGCGTTCGATGCGAGGATCGTCTCCGAAATCTTCGGTAAGTATAGTCATTGGGAGAGCGTCCTCTACAACGATGGATCTGTACTTGTTGTCTGCTCTTCATCCCATTCGGTCAGGATGACTTGATTGACTAAAATCAGATTTCGCCCCTCAGCGGGAACCCTTCGCTGCACTTTATCGTACTCGCATCCTGACGATGTCATCCCTGGGGAGTTCTGCTATGAAGCCACGTTGCGTAATAAATCCGGTAACGTGATCAAGCAGCTCAACATGAAGGGAGTGGTCACCGTCCCAACGGATCGTTTCCTGAGGAACCCGATCGTGATACCGTGCAGTGCCGAGTCCGAGTATATGGACGCGATAGTTGTCGCTGCCGAGAGAACCGACTCCTCGAAGTACAGCGTCACACTGCTTCTCGTCGATCTGAAAGAACGCCTGGATCGAGTGCTCGTCGACAGGGACCAACTCAAGAACCTATATGCTGTGAGGCGGGGAGCTCCCGCGCTAGCATTCTTGGACAAGGACCCCAGTCCTTGGAAACGAGCTCGGATCGTCGGACGTCCGCTGCCTGGCAAATACAAGCTGTTGCTAGTCGACGCGGGTGAGTAGACCGTTTTGGGTAGCATTCTCGCCGAGTGTCGAGAGTGCGACAATAATGCTACGATGCTCCCCTTCCAGGAATCGAGATCCTGAGTCCCGTGTTGAAAACCTACAAATGCCCAGCCAATCTCCTCCACATACCAGAAGCTGCGGTGGAAGTTTCAATACGATCGGATCGGCAATTGAACCTCAACGCGCTCAAGGATAGATTGGTTGTGGTGAAGAGACACTGGAGCATCGATTATAGCGAAGGAGCTCCGATGGTCGAGCTTTATGATCATGAGGGTCACATCCTTCTACCATAGGCGTGAAGGAATCGGTGCAACGATTCTGTACTGCTCCTCTACTTTGGAAGCGTGCAGAGCTCGGGAAATCACGAATCCGCTGTCGATGATGAGTCGAAATGTGATCCATCATTCTTACTTGTGATTTCCGCTTCATGGTGGGGCCTCGAGGACGATCTCTCCGAGTCGATTTGTTCCTTCATGCGGTTTGACTCGCTTGCCGGGGGGTCTCAAGAACAAGTTTCATACTCATTCTTCTGGAAAAATAAATCTCTCTGATTACAACACGGTGTTCTCGCTTGCTTCCCCCCTTCATTCTACAGATCATCCGAATGGGGTTGCCTGAGTCAGTATCTCATTTCTGCTGCTGCTATGAGTCAATTCGGGCTCTTTCATACGGCGCACCGTAAGGGAAGCTAGTTAGGCGGGACTCTCGGTAGGGGCTAAGGGTCCGAAGCGCAGCGAAACAAAGACACCGGAACCATATGGTTTAAGGCTTTTATTCAACTTAAACCCTCCGTACCCATTGCAGGCTTCATTCCGCAGTAATGCGATTGCTTGTTCGTTGCCACAGCTCAACCTATCCGCTCCGTGGATGAAAGTCACGAAAACGGAATGAGGAAGACATTCCGATGCGAATGCCGTGACGGAGTTTTTTCCGATCCTCGAGGATCTCGCTGTACCGTCAAGTTTTTCCGGCTCGATTTATTGCATTTGTTTCATCCATCTCACAAACAGTATTACAAAAGATAGAAGATTCTTGTTCACATACGTTTGGGTGGAAATTCCCTCGAAAAGGAGAATCGTGTAGATATATATGTATATATATTTTTCTCGTATATATGATCCTTACTCAATTTGTTTTGTGTGTGATCATGCAAGAATGCTGTATATATTCATAAAGCAGCACATTCATTCCCTAATTCGTTTCGCTCACGCTCCCGCTCTTGCCCACCGAACGGAGACACGGTTCCGGAGGGCTGGACACCCGTGAGACTAAAAACTCGGTCTGCGCCCCAGCAATGCGTGCCTCGTTGCGGTTTCTTCGATATGCAATGACAATGACTGGAACGAAGAATCTCGGCGCGTTGATCTCGAGCGCGAGGATACTCCGTCGCTCGACGATGCCCCATCACTTGAACACTCGTGGCAAAATGAGCAGAGCGGACGACAAATGCAAAGGGTCCCCCTATTGGTTCCGTAGACTAAACCTTCGCCGGGATTCGGTAACCATCTGACGCAATTGAGTGAGATGAGTTGCTGCGAGGCGTGAGCTCCAAGCAGCGGCTGACTCATGTTGGCCACATGCTCGAGGAGTGAGCTCCCCGTTTGTCCGTTGGTGGGTCGCTCGCCTAATCGGAAGATCTGCGTCACAACTTCCCGCTGCGGCGACATATAGCGCGAAGAGGCCAATCCGACGACCACGTATCGCGACAGAGGCGAGAAACTGAGCGATACGGCATTCGGTCCGAAACCCCAAGTATAGAGAACTTGGCCCATCGACGCCGCGTTCAAAGAGAACACTGACAGCGTGACACCGCTTGTATCGGGAACGAGAGCGACCAGCAGCTGACCGCAAGGTGACACATCGACAGATCCATCGTTGTGTATTTTGCATGTTGCAACCACGAGTTGCGCTTCAGGATCCGATATCTGCGGTATTGGTTCTTTTTGATTGATGCACCAATACTGAATCCGATGAGTTATGAGCCCAGCTCCCAGCCCCGGGCCCGCATATCTAGGAAGGTAGTTGGGAGGGGGTCGGAAGGGTGGAGGAGGGAAGGGCGGGATGTTCGAGGGACCGGCTTCGTTGTCTGAATCACTCTCGGAATCACTCGATTCGATCGTGAGCAAGTTCGCCGATGCAGGCGTCGATCCCGAAGCCGCGCGCTCGTATTCGTACCGTGCACGACGAGCCGAGCGCCGCGAGTGGAAACGAATCAAGCGGTAATCAGCTGTTAGGAGACGTTGCATTTCATTGGTCAACCGCAGCGACATGTCGACGAGCCAAACGCAGTAGGCGAGATCCCACTGAGGACTCGAAACCGACATCGCCGGCTCTTCTTCATCACCAGGATCGTACATTCTCGCGGCGGCTCGAACGATTTGAGCCCGCAGACTCCGCAGTCGTTCGCGGTACTCGCTCACGTTTTCCAGACGCTCGAGAATGTCCGAAATACGGATACGGACTTCCCGGATCTGACGTCTGGCCGCTATGATGCCCTGTCGAGCAGTGGCATCACTGAGCGATTGCAAGCTTTCCTGGAGTCGGTTCAGGAGGTGTACGAGGGAAATTGGAATATGTTGACTATTTTCGGCAGGATCCGACGACGCACTGAAGGTACGCGTTCGCGTACGCGGTGGCGGCGGCGGGGGAGGCGGTGTCATTGACCCGGACGAGATCCTAGACGTTGACGACTGTCCCGGCGGACTACTGGAGAACAGAGGTGCCATCATGGGTGAGCTTAGCCGAGTCGGCGTGGCCGTTCCCGATGCCATCCGAGGCTCAGACATCGCCGCCGCCGCCGATGACGATGCTGCCGCCGAGGATGCGGTCGAGGTCGTGGCCGATGCTGCGCCGGCCGGTCGTCCTGGAAAATACTCTCCATGGCGCATCATCCGAAGTTCGAGGCGGGTGCAGAGCATACGCAGTTGGTTGAAGGTCCACCATAGGTCGGGCCCCTCACCCCGACTCCGACTGCCGCCGTCTGTCGCTCGGCTGCTCTGGTCTGGGCTGGAAGACGAAGATGACGAAGGCGCTGAGGTCTGCGTGGATGACGTCGTTGTGAACGTTGAGGTAGGCGTCGGGGTCACTCGAGAAGTGAAACTCGACGCGGTCATAAATGTAGAATCCGGGGGAGTAGTCGAAGGAGCGCGTGGCGGAGGATACTGAGGAGTCGGCTGAGGACGCTTACGCGCTTGAGGTGGCGGATGCGAATGGGACGTCGACGGCATGCCCTGACGAGAACCGGATGCTGCTTCTGCTGCTCCGGCGACTGACGAGGCCGCCGTGGCTCGCGAAGATCTCGTCGTCGACGAGGAATTTCCGGAGGTCGAGCCAGGGATGTTTGCCGGTGATTCCGGCGCATTCTCCGCCGGATAGGAAGACGGTCGTCTCGAATCCATGATTCGAAACAAACGGCTGATGGGATGTTCTTCTCGCTCCTGAGCCCCTGCAGATCCTGAACGCGTTCGGTCCGACCACTGGCGCAGATACATCGAAAGATTCCGTTCGATGTTCGGTCTTTGTAGCATTTCGAGCAGATCGTCCGTGTTGACCATTCGGACGCCTCCTCGACGGGCTATTCGACGTTGAACTGTAGATTCCTGGAGACCGGGGAACATGTCGGTCATCCGATTGTACATGGTCATCAGTCTATGCAGAGTGGAATTACGTCGATGGGGTTGGGGTCGTTCGGTGAAGGCATTCGTTATGCCCGTGAGGAGATAGTCACCTCGGGGCGTGAAGCGAACCAGTCTCACTTTTTCTCTCTCTGAGTTTGTTTTCGTCGTGACGAACGGTTCTGGTTTACTCCAATCCCAAAAGTGTACCCTGTTGACCGTTGAGAGAGCGATGAAATTCTCCGTCGGATGGAAAGTGAGCGATGTTATCACGGATCTTTCTGGGCAGACCCAAACCTCGGAGCCTCCACCGCTGAGGTCCCAAACACGCACTTCACCCCCAAGGCAGCCACTCGCAAGCAGGTCGTTACAGGTTGGATGGAAGGCCAGGCACCAAGGAGTTCGTGGATGTCCCTCGAGGGTTTTCAGCAGCTCACCAGTCGTCACTTTACACACGTATATCCTATGGTCGCCATGGGTCGAGGCAACCCGAGATCCATTCGGTGAAAAGCACATCAGGAACGTCGATCTCACGCTCACAGGCAGTTTGCAAGGCATTTCCTCCATTTCGAAATGCGCTGCCTTGTCCTCGGCATACTCCTGGAGTTCGGTCCTAGCTCTGCCTGGGTGCAGTTGTCTCTGGGTCAGGAGATCCAGCATGGAATTCCTTTTCCGTTTCATGTTGCCGCCAGTCGGAGTCCGTCGTCGTGACGATGAAGCGACTCGTCTGAATTTCTAAACAAGTAATCCTAGCCGATTTTCGCGGAACTCTTCATTGCGTTCCCCGAACCGAAGGTTCTCGCTCATTACTCCGACTTCACTTCGCCAGATTAGCGCACGATAAGGTAGTGGGGACTTTGGCCAGATGCGTCACTTGATACAGAGAACGCTTCGCCTCCAGCAGGGGCGATTGTCCCGGAATAGAATTGCACTGGTGGTGCTCTTAGCTTCTGAATACGAAACCACTCGGAGGGCGTCTGCTCTTTCTCAGGAATTCGCTACAAGGGTTCTTCTCCGGCGGCGGGGCAGCGGAACCTCGTAATCGACTCAGTTCCTCCACGGGGAATTAGGCGCACATCTCACTCCAACAGTTTAGACCCGAAATTCCTGACTCTCCGAGTAGAGAAAGGAAACGCTTGAATCACGATATGCTGTGGAGGTAGTTTCAGAGGAGGTCCATCGGTTGCAGACGAATGTGTACGAACAACAACCATACGAGAACAGCTCTCTCACCGGATGCTGGAGATGATGATCTCCTTTTAAGGAGGAAGAACTTAACGACTTGGCACGAAGAAATTTCCTGCCGCCTCTGAAGCGGTATGAGAGCGGCCTCGCTTAGTGGAAGGAGCAGGCTGATCTCCTGGCGCGAGGATGAGCACAAGTTACTCTCACCGTATTCGGGTTGGATCGTCTTTCAACGGAATCTGGTTGACCGACAAGTTTCGTTGAACACGCCCGCTGTTGCGTCCATCACCATTTCTCCCCCAGCTCTCAGGCTACCTTGTACCGAAACTCTCTGGCCGGGCTGATAGGAATCAATGGCAATCTCGAGGGCTTTCTCCTGCCCCTGCTGGGAAGCACTAAAATTTTCGGATACCCGATCTACCAAGGCGCGCCTGTGGTTCCCCGCTGGAAGATTCGCGAGTTCCGATGCCAGTATGGCATCTACTTCCCCAGGAAAAAGAGACGGACTCATCTCACAGACAATTCTCAAGGGCAAAGGATTGCGGCCGAATGAAAATTGCCCCAGACTCTTGAGGGCAGCCTCTGAATCTCTGAGTGCCTCAGTAGTTCGCGCAATCGTAGTTATGAGTTCATTCGATTGACGAGTCCTCATCTGACGTTTGATAGGCACTCGGAACGATCCTCCGTCGGCCGGGAAAGTTGTTCCTGTATCATCAGACCGTCGGAGATGGGCGGAAATGATATTCTCGCACAATTACGAGCGAAGTTTGGCGCCGTCGGAATTCAAGATGGTTGACGTCTGTCTGTTGATGTTGTTGTTGGTTGCTGTTGTAGCGTGAGTGGTGTGTGTATCATCAGCTGGAGAACGCCGGAGACACAAGTTACACCTCCCCTTCTCGCAGCGTCCGTCGATCTCACGCATTCGCAACTACAGCTGAGACGGAGTTCGCACAATTATTACGACGCGATCTTCCATCTTGAATCGGTATTCCGGATCACCCATATCAAGGCCGCGGATCAGCTGTCAGCTCCACGACAACATCTCATTCCGGGAGAGCTTGTTCGAAAAGTCTTCGAAGCGCTTGAGACGATCACGAGAGTAGTCAGCCTGTGTACGTGACTTCATCTCATTTCTCTTTTCGTGGAAAACTCAGGTGAGAAGAACTTCTCGAGGGCTTCCGGAAGACTACTCGGATGTAATATCCGCGGTTGACAATGAGCCAATCACGAGAATTACTCCGAAGTTTGGCGGCGGCCTAGAGATCTCCGAACTTCGTCCAGAAATTTGTAGGAGATAGATAATGTTCCGTCATACCTCATTACCAAATGCATCGTGATCATGTTTGTCATGTCATCCAGTCATGGAGAATATTGGAATTCTCTATTCGAACGCAGTTTTTCTTCTCCCAGGTTGACGTCTCGCTGCCGACCCTCTCATGTAAGTTTAGTCACTCATCGTCATGTCTGGCTTTACTTGGCCCTGGGAATATTCCTTCCCGCCGTTCTTCACTGTGCAACCAAATTCTACGACGCGGGCAAAACAAATGGACTCGTGGACATCTCTGATCTGCGCCTACTGTCAGTTCCACAAAATTACAATCCTGAACCTTGGGGACGCTGAGGCCTCTGACCTATTCAATAACAAAACCCTCAAGCGTAAACTCAGTTCCGACGCTGTACTCGAAGTTGCGCAATACATGACGGATAACGGTAAAGCACAATGGTTAGACGGGCAGAACAGCATTCTAGTGCTTTGGCGTAGCCTCGAAGAATGGGCAAAGCTCTTACATGATTTCGCCATCGAGGCTGGTCTAACGAACAGTGTGTGCACTCTGTTCGAGCTCGTTCAGGGCGACGATACCACGAAAGAGGAATTCTATGGGTTAGACATCAGAGTTTTGAAAGTTTTCCTCAAATGTTTGGAGGAACAGGGCCGAGCCGAACTGATCGGCGACGATGAAGGCGTCAAGTTCTTTGTTTGAATCAATAAATGTGTATATAAACATTACGACAAGTCGAGAATTGAGACCTACTTAATAGGAAAATCTATTCTTTTGTAGCATCCAGCGACGAGAGTTTTGAGATTGTTCTGGAACGAGGAATGCCGCTCGATAGCACCCTTACAGATGCCCTCGTATTCGGAAATGGACCTCGACTTCAACGAGGCTGTCGATGATATTTTCCGTAGACAGGATCTGAGGCGAAAATCGGCCTACTCGGCAGCGTACGCAGCGGGTCAGGAGGCCGGTTTCAGAGAGGGATATTCTCACGGACTGCTGAAGGGCTCGCAGATTGGAAGAAAAGTTGGATTTTACCGAGGTTTCGCTCTGTGCCACCGCTCGATACTCCTCTGCCAGCGAATCCCCGAAACAGACCGGGGAAGTTCCGACGCCGCCAGAAAGAAGCTTCTGTCTCTGGAGAGACTGATAAACTCATGCGAGCGTTTCCCGCGAGAGAATGCCGAAGAAGATCTCGATGCTAGGCTTTTGGAATTGCAATCCCGATTTAAGCAGGTCTGCAGCATATTGTCGATCAATCCGAATGAGACGGGGGATGCATTTGTTAGTAAGGAAATGTTCTGACGAGGGTCTTCTCGTGCATGAAGCCTCTTCTGCCATCTTGCGCAATAAATGAAATTCTCAGATCTCTTTCTCTTCGATATCGACACTGAACATGTGCTCGAGGAATTCGTCTCCATAATTTGTAGAGGCTCCCTTCACCAAAGCTTCGAGAGTTGTTTGAAAAAAGTGATCGTCGTCCCCTGTTCTCCTCCGCCTCGAAGCTGATCGGAAATGTTGTCGGCTTGCTCGAGCTGCAGTCGACGCGTGGCCGTACCGATAATCGCGACGAGAATCATCTGCAGTCTAGAAGGAGCGACGTGATTGTCGACTCCAAGTCTTCTGAGACGTGCAACGCTGCACTTCAGGCCGACTTCCACGCGCGTTGAATTACGTTCCTCGCGATTGACGGGCCTTGTTCAAAATTCAGCGGAGCGCGTGTTGCTCCTTCCCTGAGCGAACTCCATGCGCGTCCAATGCGGATCAAAAACCGCGCGCAGGCTGAAAACCGGCGACCGGCAGCAGAAAATTATCCCAAATCTCCTGAGCATAGATGCTGCCTCAGGCATCTCATGGTAGTTTCGAACTCGCTGAGGATTACGAACCCCAGCGACTACAAGAATCCGGATGGTCTGTAAGGACGAGGAGAGGCTTCGATCCTGTCCGTGCTCTCTTCGGAACCTTGGGCCTGACGGTCGCTCGCATAGCCGATTGGAGCCCCCGATGAATCAGCAGAAAAATCCTTCTCATCGAAACTTCACGCTCCATTAAATATTTCTATGTCACTTCAACTGTTTCACAGCGATCTTCCATTAAAGTAGATTTGTCTCATTAAGGAAAAATCTCGGAGTGACTCAGCGAACGCCTGGCCACCTGCGCGAAGTAAGACAAGCTTCAGTAGGCTCAGAAGCTGACGCTGCGATCGAGGCAGAAGTCCGCGAGAAAACACTAACATGAGATACGCGTCGCACGGGAACCCGTTCCATCGCGGACTCGGGATATCTCATCTGCAGCTAGGGATGGCAAAGGGAAATCAGCTGAGGCTGTCCATTCAAGAGCCTTCCGAGATTCCCGAGATCTTCAGATTCGAGCATCTCGAGACACGGGAGTTTCTTCTCCGGGTGGGCGACAGGCAGGAGAGCGGGCTGGCGGCGATGTGGCAGTGCAACATTCCGATTCCCCTCCAAGGGAAGACTAAATAATATGCTCTGTGTGAAGGAGCGCATCGATGGCTCGTCGATGCGCAATTGCTTCAGGAGCTCTTGTCGGTCTTCGGGATAACTGCGAGGAGTAGGCAGCTGATGTCGATAGACCTCACTGAGTGTCGATCGCTCTCGACCGGGCCAGCCATGAAGGCAGGTGGACCGTCGAAGCATATCCGACCTTTTTTCTAGTGGAAACCACTTTTTATTGGTGTTTCCTCTAGAGTTTTTCATGCCAAGCCGCACGGATCATTAGAAGTTTTTGTTCCTTATCGAAAGCCGTCCATAAAAATTAGCCGATCCGAGCCTCACCTGTTCACAGAGAAGGTCATCGGGATGTTCTCAGGCACTTCTTTACGAGTGTGGCTCTCGGCGTTGAAACCGTTGTTTCTCGCCTCGATTTAAAACAGACCACTCTTACCCAACGTCCACCTCCTCCCAAACGGCGATGTGCTCTCAAGCTGGACCGGTCCTTCTTCGGATTCACGAGCTAAAATGATAGACAACGGTCTCCGAAAGGAGCGTGGTAGATATAAATGAACCACTTGTCATTCGTCTGCCCAGTGACTCGACTAAGGAGCAAAGCTGAGGTTCGAACACGAATTCGCTGAGAGGTATTTGAAGCAAGCTGCAAGCGGACGATCGACCGTCGTCGGGGTTTTCTTCAGTCACTCGGGGTCGCACGGCGTGCAGACTCACAGTAGTGGCCGAGCTCGGGAGATTTCGATCATATAAGATGGGACGCTCTCGGACGGAGTCTTAGCGCTACCGAAGTAGGATGACATTCTCCGCGCAAATGCGCTTTCCAGTACACAGGAATACCTCGGCTAGTGTTATCCTTGGTCCTGTATTATAGCGGACCCGTCTCATACGACTTATTTCTACTATGTGGTGGATTCAGGCAGATTAGGTGAAGAAAAGAACAGGACTTCATATACCTTCAACGAACGCACTCCCGAAAGTTTTCCCTCCTCCTTCGCCATGAGAAGTAGGCGCCCACAGCGGACCTGCTTCTTGTGACGACTGCACTAATGATGACTGATTGTGAGCCTAGTAGTACTTTGTACCTTTATCAGCCCGGATCCGTAGCGGGATCTGTATATCCGGCAAAGTGTGATACAAGTTCTACACTTACGATATGGACTGCTTCCGTTCGCTTCTGGGTGGAACATGTTATCTGTTCATTTGTAACTACAGAGTCTGTATTACGCGTCCGTTCTCAGCGATTCTTTCGGAATCTGATTGGTGCTTCCGCAAAACGAGATAATTAGCTGCTCCAACCTTCAGGAAGGTCCGAAATGGGGGGTCGGAGACAGTTCACGCAAAGTTACCTTTTGCTTCCCACAGACTCGAGATAAGCTCCATAATAATTAGGAGTGCGACTGATCAAGCCGCTCCTTCGGGCCATTCGCATGAGGCTCACAGAGCGGGAATACACATGCACACCTCAGGGGGATCCTTGGCTTCCCATCCCGTCAAGTAGATCGACCTATCCAAGTTCAGTGTGCGTCTTCGAAAACATTCTCCTTGTTCCGGAATTCGGATCCCGTACTTCAGAGGCTCAGAGAGTCGAGTAGCGTGGGAATGAGAGTAGCCCGCTACCTGGAACTGATCGCGTCCGCGAGTCTTGGAAGTGGCATCCTCACACAGGGCACGACCCAGCATGTAACTGCTCGCATCATGACTTATTCATTTGAATTCTAGTGAGTTTCCGTCGAACGCAAGCCATTCTTCTCTTGATGAGGCTGCCAGCCACATCAGAGTCTGTGAACGTTTCTCTCGCCAAGCTCACGGCCTGGCTCGGAGACCTTCCACTAGCCAAATCCAAAGGGATGATTTGATTACCCGAGCTCTTACCCGGGTTTGAGCGACCGCTATTCGCTTCTCGCTGATTGAGATATCGAAGCGAGCCGTGGACGGTTCCAATGGAGTTTACAGTTTCTTCCTTTTCGAGAGAATTGAGATATGGTTTGCTTCAAGACTAGCGAAAAGATCTCTTGCGCTCATCCACGGAGATCGGATGGGTCTCGGAGGAGCGGCGGGCGAGCCGAGGCTCTCCGACGAACAGTCGAGGGGCCGAACGAGCTGTAGACGTTGAAGGTCACGACGCGCGGAGGAAAAAGGTCTCAAGCATCAAGACATGACTTCGATTCCTCGATCATCCGGCTTCTGTCGGAGGAGCAAATCAATATCCCAAAGTAGAAACTAGATCGGATGGGGAGCCGCTAGGCGCCCTTCGGATATCAGGGCTGTTTCCTCCGGAGATCGAGTCAGACAGGCTTTCATTCTGAATTTCATGGAGTTTCAATCGTTGAAGCTCGATGCTGTCACCGGTCACAAGCAGCGAATCACCGAACTTCGTCGACGGACCGCTTCCTCTCAAGGACACGAGAGCCTTTCTGGGACTACCGACAGAAGGTCCCATTGTGCACAACGATTAGGTTCAGCTAGGCGAACTCGGCTTCAGGAAACTCATGGTGGATAGATTTTACACGGAGAATAATGATGCATAACCCACACGCGAGAATCAATCGCGTCGGCTTCACATGTACGGCCCTTGGATTGTCGTTCAACGAAGACACAATTTCAGAAATTCCGGTTTTCTAGTCAGGTGGCTGACAAACGGCCGTGCTCAAGATATCATATATTATGTCTGTGGAGAACCGCTGACCAGTCCCTAATCATTGGACTCTAATGGATCCGAGGAGAGAACGGGTCACGGATTCCGCTTTGACGAGAATCGGACTCGGAGAAACAGTTTCGACTCTGACCGCGGCCCGATGATAAGAGAGAAATGTTGTTGATGAACGGTCCGATCGGGAATGATTCTCGAAGCAAGCCCATGAACTGGTTTGTTTTCGAATGCTTTTTCGTGAGGTTCGTGGCTGATCGCTGCTTCTGCTGCCTTCCTAGTTCCCACACTGTGTTTGCTGTGAGCCCCTTGAACCCCCGTGGTCTCTCTCCTCCACATTTAGGTCACAGAACCCCGAAAGGAGACCTGAAGAAAAAGTACAGGTGATATTCACGAAACATTCGACCATCGATCCGAAATCATTCAAGCCGCCGCCGTCAAGCGGCGTCATACGCCACGTTGGAAGACTGGAGCCCGACATCGAGTAGCTTCCGATGCTGTTCGACGGAGGCCAAATGCTATCGGAGAGTCGCACGCGAGGGAATAAACCGAAATCGTCACTATCTAGACGCGAAAAGATATCGTTCGGGCGATAGCATCATCGTTATCGATATCGATTCCGACGGCTTGCTTGCGAGTGTTTGTCTCTCTTATTGCAGCTTGACCAGCTGGCGAACTTCCCACCCCCTCTTAGACTTCTTTTTCTTGTTCGGGACGTCAGGTGCTATTGGAGCAAGAGCAGCAGATGATCGCGGAGCATCGTGGGAGCGTTTTTCTCACCAGCCCCCACCTGACACAAACGCACTCACTCACTCGCACACACACGGACAGCCACACTAACACACCACATTCGGATTGAGGAAGCCCGACTCGCTCGCTACCTTGTCTGGCCGAAGGCCCATGATTTTGAGATGAGCGCTCATCACAACTAGACACGAATATTCTTAGGATTTAAAAAAATTATACTTTCGCTCGGACGACGGACGCCTCCACTCTTCTCGCTTGTTTCCATCTGTCTCGAGCGGCTCGTCGACGGTGACAAGTTTTTGTCCACTGTCAAGAGCTACGACATCGCCCGCGGCGATCCAACGCGTGCATTCGCAACGGCGACTGCAACATCTGCTGGGATGGTGCCTGCTTGGACTTCAGCGAGCTCAGATACAACTCTTCAAGAAGCCGAGGCAGATTCGAGCGAGGTAACCAGGTCAGCTTATAACTGGGTCAGTCCAGCAGGTTGAGTACGATCAGGTTGAAGAGGCCGGTTTGCAGATGGTTCCAGGTTATGCAAGACAGGTCACTGGGTCGCTGACGGGCGGGATCAGGTACCTTCCATCTCCAGAGAAGACGTCGGCGAGCAGCGAGACCGAGCTTAGATCGCGAAGAGCACTCAGAACCTCACTAAGGATTCATTACTGCGACCACGAAAAGGGGAAAGAAGCGATGATTATCGGATTCGTCGCTTCCGAGTATCGTAGATTGGTAGACGAGTACTCGGTCGCTGCGTTATTCCACTCGGAGTAGAGACGAAGTGCTTATCAGTGAAATAATGGAAGGATGGTACTCGCTCACTGAGCATGGGCTAATTTCGGAATGCACAGCAGGTGCCACTCAGAAGGATACGTGCGGAAGTGAATAGCTAAGCAAGCCGAATTCCCAAGTTCTCCTCCGTCTGGACCTGGTGGAATTCCCTCGAAGTCAATCCGCGGTCTACCGTTCTCGTTGTGCGTATGCGATCAGACAGACCACCAGAAAAAGAAGGAACGTCAGGTCGTCAAGCGGCGATGGACGGCGTCTTCGGATTTTTTCGTCACCTAAAAAACAGTCGTATATCGATGTCCTCGACAACAACGACCACGGCTACTATTGCGACTGCCGGGAAGACGGCTACGACGGATGGTGTGCTTTCTCAGAGAGCTTTTGTATTCTTGAGACTTATTTCAATGACGCTGTATGTTACGGCGCGGTCTGTCGATTTTTCTGTTCCCACGAAGGCGACACATTCGGACTGAAATAGACCACCGCGAAGTGAAATACTACAATTAGCGGAGTGAGACTCGGAGCTGAGCATTTCCAACTCGTAGAGCCGCCGTGACGGTCGTAAGGAAACGGCTCCATTAGGTGGTCGCTTCCACAATGGAGTTTCCCAGCGCCGGCCGTAAAGATAAAACCCTAACCAAGCAAGCATGCTCACAGCGAAGATTCTGTATACAGCATCCCCTATGTTTAGTTTAGCTTATCTCTCGTCCAGTCGAGGGAGATTTAATTTCACCGGCGAGCTACTGTTCGGGCGCCGTTTGATCGCTGCCAATCTGTAGTCTTCTTGTTTCGACGCCTTGCTTGCTAGGATATCGTGGATTCGGGGACGATTGCTCGCAATTACAGTGAGTCTGGATACCCCGCGAGATGCGAAGTTTTTTCCCGAGGGGGAGCTCCTCGCTCTTCTCGTCTGGAGGCTCTCGCAAGAAGGAAGTGCCACTCTGGGCATTCCTGTCTAGCCTCGGGGTTTTTGCTCCACTCAAACGGAAGTATTTCAGACCGAAAGATGCCGGCGGAGGAGTCGCAGGTTGCTCGTAGATGAGGAGGACCGCCTCTCGGCGATCCAGTCAGGCGTGTCCTACCCTACCGATACCACTATCGCCATCGTCGCAGCCGCCACTGTCGTCACTAGCACAAGAACAACAACAGGCAGCAATGGCAGCGATTCAGCCAAGCAGGCAAGCACGTGCATTGACATGCAGCTGGCTTCGACTCCCAACCGTTGGGTCTTCGGCTCCGGTCAACTGTTACGTCAGTCGTCCCGCCAGATTTAACTCCGAACGAACCCGGGCCAGAAGGCAGAGTGGTTTCCCGTAGCCGCTCAAGTGAAAACTCACGGAATATGTTCGTTCGCTCGCTCGTCCATTTATCTGGTGTCTCATACAGCGCCACGATGTCAACGAAAATATCAATCGGGGAAGATTTCAAGCGTTGTTGATCCACGCAGGAGTCTCTGGAGAGGGTGTCCTCTTCCTGGCCCCAGATCCGGACGGAAAGCCAGCCGAAGCGGATTTTCAGTACCGAAATCGGGAGTCGAAGCGATGGACGTCGACACAAGTCATCGCTCGACTTACGGAGGGGAATTTTTGTCGATTCTGCACCGGGATAGAAAAAAAGTCCCCGAGCGGGGAATTCATTCGACTCCCGGAAACAACCTCGACGGCGCAGCGAACGATCGATATGAATAAAGTGTCATAGAGTTTGGGCATGAAGGAAAATTCTTGGATTCATAATATTATTATCAATAATAATAGCGTTCACTTTATTTGAAAATTCCTCTCCGCCAAGTATTCACAAGTTGGCCCCTTCTCGGGGCTGCGGTCATCTATCGCCACTTAGACGAGACCTATATACATTATCTACAATCATGAAATGTCGAGAGTTCATCCTGATTTCGAAATTTCAGCATGAGTTTCTTGCCGTTCTAGTTTCCTAATTATCCGATATCTGAATTTCCTCAGAACTCAATAGCCGTTCCCGTCGGAAGGGATCTTGACCAGGCTAGAGACTGTATGATTCCGGTATTCTTCTCTTGAAATTCACAGATTGATGAAATTCGGGTCCCATTCGTTCCAGCAGCGAGCCTAAACGAGCATGACATTCTACGTCTTGGGACCGAATTTTTCGAACGGATACATACATACACTTCTCGGTGCGTTCAGGCTGTTCTTCACAACTAGTTTCTGTCGAGTTGGTCGGGACTTGGTTATATATTAGAGATCTCTAACCGGTCGACCCGACGGCAATATTTCTTTTTTTGGTTAAATACCCATCGGCCTTGCCCGACTGCGATTCCGAAATCGCTCGGAGCCGAAAGCTGCCTTCACAACGGTTCGAGGCGAACCCTACATCATTATTCAACAATAATTTATGTACAAATTCAACGAACAACAACAATTGCAAAACAGTTCCCCTCTCCGGAAGCAACAAACATCGCTCGAGAGTTTCACACTTGCGTGTTGAGTTTGCTACTCGAAGCGCCTTTGTTGTTGTTGTTGTTGTTCTTTGTATTACTGCTAGAGCTGCTACAAGCACTACTACCACTAATGCTGCTGTTGTTTTTGTTGCTCTTCACGCTCATGTTGTTGTTCTTCAGACCGGAGCAACTAGCGTTCAGATCCGAACAGGACGTGTTGGCCTTCTTCAGATTCTCGTAGGTGTTCTCTTCCCGGCTGAGCGTGTTGAGAACTTTGCTGCTGCAGTAGAGCCCGCTGCTTCGGACGTTCGAATACCGCGCGAACTGAGGGTCGTTATCGGGATAGTCCCGTACCGTTGCGTACACGTGTGTGTCCGCTACTTTGGCGTTGTTCTTCTTCATGTCGTCGACCGGGGCTCGGCTCCCCGGTGAAGGAAGGTTCGGTTGAGGTCGTACGAAGACACCGCAAGAGTCGGCAGCCATCGTTGCGGGATTCATACTGTATCTCAGCGAACCGACATCGCCGGGTCGCAGTGAGTTCCTGAAGAGCGTATCTCCTCCGGTTCCCCGGTAGATCGAGTTGTTCATCATGGTTCGCGGAGCGTTCTTCTCGTTCTGACGCGCCGTGACGTTATTTATGTGTCGGTACTTGCGATAGTAAGCGGTCCCGCCGAGGGCAATGCACAGTAGCAAGAGGAATCCCAAGATTAAGATTGTGGCCTTCTGAGCGGCTGTGACGACATCGATGTCGGGAATGTGCTTAAATTTGCTTCCGTACGCCCCGTATTTGTACGAAAGACTGTAGTCGCAATTCACACCGGAGAACGGCGGCTGGCAGGAGCATTTGTAGCCGTCGATCAGGTCGGTGCAGCGGCCACCGTTCTGACAGGGATTCGATTCGCACTCGTCGATGTTCACCGAGCAGTCTTTGCCGCTGAACCCCGGCGGGCACGTGCACTCGAAATCGTTCTGGGCCGAGTAGCAGGTTCCTCCGTTCGCGCAAGGGTTGAGCAAACAGTGATCGGCACGCGTGGTGCAGTTAGCCCCAGCGAAGCCCTTCCGACAGAAGCACTTGTATGAGTCGCCGTGACTCTGACAAGTTGCTCCGTTGGCGCACGGATTGTTCTGGCAGTGGTCGACGATTTCGCACCGGTGACCGTAGTATCCCTCAGGGCATGTACACTTGAACGGCGCACCCTCGAAGTACTTTTCATTGTTCGTGCATCGACCGTTGTGGAGACACGGGCTGCCATCACATGGATTGATTTTGTGTTCACAGTTGGCGCCTTCGTAGCCTTTCGGACAGATACATTGGGGACCGGAAATCGTGTTGAGGCATGTGGCTCCGTTCTCGCATCGCTTGTTGTCGCAGGTCTCTTTGACGAACTCGCAGTGAACCCCGGAGTAGCCTGGAGGACATCTGCAGCGATAGTCGTTCGTGGAGTTGGACGAGCTGGCGGACTCCTCACAGCGACCGCCGTTCCGGCACGGCGTCGCCGCGCAGCCACTGATCACTTCCTCGCAGTTCTTGCCGCCGAAACCGATCGGGCATTGACAACTGTAGCGGCCGTCCCACGAATTCCGGCAGATGCCTCCGTTTCGGCACGGGGAATTGTTGGTGCAGAAGTTGAGGTCTCGGTTGCACAGCATACCGCCCCAGCCCTCCTTGCAGTTGCACTGCCAGGGCTGATCGCAGCTGCCGTGTTTGCATCCCGGGAAGCTGATGCACTGATCGCAGAGAGCGCCCTCGTAGCCAAAGTGGCAATCACAGCCGAACGGTTTGCTGCATATCCCTTTGCATCCTGGACGACACACGGCTGTTGGAAGAAAGAAGAGGACCGCTTAGTTCCAGGTTCATCGTTGCCGACCGCCGGCTCAACTTTCTCCGTGGAAAGGCTCTGACTCGCTCGTATACTCACGTTTATCACAATATTCGCCAGCCCATCCGCGAGAGCAGACTTTATTCCCTTGCTCGTCGCATTCGTAGTGGCCGTAACGGTCGTGTCGGGGACGACAGAGACGATCGCACGCTACGCCATAGTAGTTTGTTGAGCATATCGCGCGGAAGGCGATTTTCACTGAAGATTGCGGCATCTCTGGCTTCGACCATTCCTGGCTGATCGCGAGGAATTGGGACGAAGACAACCGCATGGCGGGAGCGGGTCCTTTCGATTCGAGCCATGCCTCGACGACGAGAGCGAAGGTTCCAGGCCATCCGAAATCAAAGGGCATCGACACTTTGAACGAGTCGGCTACGTACGGTAGCGATAGCGGAGCGCTGACCGACTCTCCGTATGTACACGTGATCTGCAAGATTGCGAAATTGACGAATCGTTAGTGAGAGCTTCCGTGTCGTAAGTACGTTTCTACGTTCTACGTAAGTGAACGCATCATTGAACGTGGACAGACTATCTGGCCGGTTGGCACGATGGCCGGTCGGCAGGCCGACCGACTGGCCGGCCCGCCGACCAGCCAGCGAGCCGAGAGCATTTCCGCTCAAATCCCGAACGGTTTAATGTTTGGTAATCAGCAGTTAGGATGCGGCAGACGGTAGGCAGGCAACCAAGCAGGCGGGCACGCGTAGAATCGTCTTCGGTCGAAGAACAGCACCATAACCACATGCGGAGCTGACAGCAGCAGGCGAAAGATTGAGAAGGAGCACCATCTGGTGAGCTCACAAAGAATAAGACGACGGCGGCGACGACGACGACGACGAACAAAAAGTGGAAAAAAAGAAAAAGACATGATGATGCTGCTGCCGCCGCGCCGGCTCTACGGCCAGGGTCAGATCGGACTGCCTTACTGATAGACGAACGGCTGACGGTCGGCTCAAACGCTCGACCGACCGACCGCCCGCCCGCTCCTCCGCTCACTAGGCTGGCTGGCTGGCTGCCTACCTACCGACCCACCGCCCGGCCCAAGAGGAGAAAAAGGTCCGCGCATGTGTTTTACCTAAAGAAGAGGAAGAACGAGTCGACGAGGAAAAGGAAGAGGAACCGCCAGCCAACAGGAAGTCCGAACTTGCTGCTATTTTAGGATGGGGAATAGGCGGAGGATGGTGGAAAAAACTTCCACACATCCGTGGAAGTAGAAAAAAGAGACTCCACAAAAACTCTGACTGAGAGCTCTGTCTGCTTCCATCGGATAGTTGTTCGAAAAGTGTTGTATTTCAGATTTAGGACACAGTTTTTTCGAAACTAGAGTGGAGAAAAGACGGAACGATGCCCGAGCACCGGGATCAGGAGGAAAAGGGAGAGAGGTTGCGCTGCTCGATCTTCCTCTGTCTAGACTCTCCGGTTCTCTCTGGAGTGCGGAACTACAGATAAATAAGAATCCGTGATGCAACTTACGTTATCAGCGTCGATTTCCCGTTGGAAATGGCTCCAGCAAATTCTGATGACAAGAATATCCCTGCGGCTGAGATCTTTGCCGATGTCTAGACTCTCAACTTTGAGCTGGAACTCTCCGGTCGATATGACGGTCTGTAAGGAGGAGATGATCGAATTTAGGCTGGTTACGTGTGGAAAAATTCGAGCGCCGTCTGTGCGATACGTCATTCGCGAGCCGAACGGCCGCTGTAACGTGAGAACTCTGGATTGCGAAGCTCGAAGACTTTTGAGGATCCTCGGGTCCTCAAGCTGAGCTCTGAATTACTACGAAGAGAGTCGATGCCTACGCTTCACAATCTATCCTCTTATATATGGATGTACGGGTCGTATTGAAGGAAGAGATAGACCATCTGCTGTATGGCTTGGCCGCCCCCGAAAGAGTGTGGGAGACAGGTTGTCTCTTCTGCTCCTTCGCTTCAGAAAACGCTGATTCTGTGAGAGTCGTACGGAGACAAGCAAGGTCTGGCCGGCTAACCATATGCCGGCACCAGCGGAGAGCACCTGGTGCCTCCTAGAAGTACTCGGCACCAGCGGCCGCGTTGGTTGCAGAAGGGAAGAATGGGATACATACTTCGAGACGAATATTAGTCTCGATGTTCTCTCGACAGGTTGTTTGGTAAGCGATATGGGAGCTGACCAACGGATTACTCAGCCTGACTAGCGAGAGAGAGAGACATCAGATAGGACGAGCCGAGTATTCCAGAAGAGGATTCTGCGAGCGCTCGGGGTGAGCTACGAGCAACAATGCGATAAATCGCTGTTGCCACGAGGTGTCACCTTACCATGAGCGGCGAGTGGTCAGTCGGAGTCCACAAAACAACGCGCGAAACAACAGCTAAACGAGAAACAAAATCGCTCGTTGTTGTCGCCTCAACCGTGTCCAGCTGGTTCATCGGTTCGGCCTGCTAACTACGCGGCGCTGTGACTGCCGCGGCAGATGTTCGTTCGTCCCGCGACACGTTTTTTTCACGGAACGATATATCAGCTGGAACGTCTGGCCAGCATGCGGCATGCTCAATGGCTTTCAATTTCGGGTCTCGGGCATCGATAAGATGCAAGCAACTGGGCACGAAGGTAGCCCGGCAGGCTCGCACCCAATCGGTGCCTGAGTCCTGGTGCCGGGCTCTTCCGGTCTCGGAACAGAAGTTGACCTTGGGGAGCGGAAGTCGCTCATGATCCCCGACGGAGCCGTGAGCCCATCCGTCGCCGAGCAGGAGCCGTTGTTGAGACAGCATGGTAAAGTTCACTATGAGATATTATCAGCACGTTATCAGCAGGACAGGGCGACGAAGGAGTTCGCGCTGAAGCTTTCTGCTTCTGAAGCGTCGAAATTCAGTGAATCTCCGTGCCGGCGCGATGAACTTCTGTTCTTCCCTCGGTCGGGCACACGGTGAGAGAAGCAAGATTACGAAGACTCCACAGCGGAAAAATTACCGTCCACTGTGGGAACTATGGCGCGGCGGCAGTGTTGGACACACACGCTCTAGGTCTGAGACGGAACGAAAAATCATCCGAGCAGGGGCGAGATGATTTTCTTCCCGAGGCTTACTCGATCGAATTTACGCGTGAGCGAATGGAGGGCGGTTCGACGCAAAAACCGAATCTCCATAGATATTCCCATCGACATGTTGTAGTTCCAGGTGCTAGAGTTTCCGGAAATGAAGCTCACCTGAATTAGGGCGAAAACGATCACAACACGTTGGACGAAGTGAGCCAAACAGGCCATTTCGGACGGTGAATTTGCAGGTGGTATATATTAGTAATATTCACAATAAATTAAGTGCTGCGACAACTGTTTGGCACTGCATCAGCACAATGTGAGCGCGAGAGTCATGGTATCCTGAATGTGGCACTTCTACTACTTCGACGAAGTCGTCCACTGGTGTCAGAGGCGACGAGCACTTCAAACGCTTCTCCGAGGTTTTTTCCTTGGTGGCACTTTTTATGGAAATTGAGAGCACGTTGTCGAGACGGCACGCAGGTCGAGTCAGATGAGTTTTCTGTCTCTCTTAGGAACTCCGAACGCTGTCACGTCTCGTTTCAAACTGACAGTAAGCGCGAAAGCTCGCACAAGTCTATCTCTCGAGGGGGGAGAGGAGGAAGAAGGTTTTGAAGTGAGCTAGCGGCCAACGAAACGCCAAGTCTACGATGGCGACGACGGCGACAGCAACAACAACAGCAGTCGTAGTAGTGACTGGAACAGCAGCGCCAGATGGCCTCGCTGGGAGGCAGATGGCCCAGGCGAGCGAGCGAGCAAGCGGACGAAGGAAGGAAGCAAGCGATCCTGCCTGCATGTTGAACTGCCTGGTTGGATAGCGGGTAGATGGCCGGCCGGCCGGCTTGCCCGTCGGCCAGAGAGCATCGGAGACGATGGCGAAGAACGAGAGGAAGCTTGCCGAAGAAAACAGCAGCAGCGGTTCCACGAGCGGCAGAACACGCGGCCGGCCGGTTGTGCGTCCTTCCCATCGGCTGAAGAACCGATCGGCCCTAGAGGGCTCCGACGCTGCAGTCGGAGCTCACTTCGCGACGGAGCCGGCTATCGCTCCTCCTGCTCCTACTGAGGCGAACCGCTGCCGGGGGAGATCTTGCAGCAGCAGCAGAAGACGACAACGACTGAGGGGGTGGCTGTTATCCATCGGTGCCAGGTCGCTTAGCCTGGCGGGCTCGCTTGCTCGTTGATCAGCGACAGAAGGTCCGAACTGCGCCATTTCTTCTGCCTCCAGTGCTGATGCTGCTCGGATTGTCACATATGAAGAGAAAGACTGACAGACGGACGGACGGGCCGGTCGCTCGAAAACGAGCGGAAAGAAACAGATTGACGAATCGTCGAAGATGCGGGTGTAATACTCGTAATACGTCATACACCGGTCTACACTGAGCTCCGATGGGTGCTTCCGTGAATGTTTCCGGTTCTTCAAACCCGAGCCGATGCGCGATGTTCGCGGTATTCCGGCAATGATCCTAATCGGCATGTCTTTTTGACCTCTCGGAGCTTTGCGTATTCCGGCTTAAGATAGGTGTCCTCGGTGAAATGCCGCGTGTCCGATCTGCGAGACATCTTGGGATACGTAAATTACGAGACCAGAAGAAGCCAGGGGACAGTTGTTTTCGGCAGCAGGAATAGGAGTACTCGAGTGCATCTCTCGAGGACATCCCTTGGAAGTACCCTTTCGGAAGGGAGTTGGCGGAAGCTCGGAGCCACCGATGACATGGTTTACAAACACTCCTTCTCCAAGCGCGCGGATTGTGGCCATTCAGCGGAACGAGACATCGCTGCAGTGGAACTCCACGAATTCCGACGATGCGGAGGCTGAAAACGTATACAATCGGAAGGATCCTCCGCATCGTGTTTTGATCGTAACCATCATCGTGGACGCCTGACCGACACCAAGAGGCGAGTCGCGCGGAAGGTTTTCAGTGGAGATCCGGAGTCGTCGACGAGTCGTCTCCGTGCATCCGTTGATCGATTCATTCGAATGCTTATTCGCCACACACAATGATTGCCGTTTGTGAGTTTTGCCCAGTGGGCGTTCCATGGGTTTTGTCGCTCTCGTTCCTGCACCCAGGCTATTGGTATTTGTTCGAGGAATTAATCGCCCTCGGAACCCACTCGTTAGCGTAAAGACTTCTATGATTCGAGGTCGTCGTCTCGCAGCAGGTGGACTTCTCGCCCTCGACACCCACTCATGAGCCGCAGCAAAACAGCCTCCAGTTTCGGCACCTACCTATCGGAAGGACCACCTTTCACACAGTCAAGCATGAAACCCCAAAAGCATGGGATCGATTTCAGCAACCAACCAACCTCCCACCCACCCGCTCACTCACTCACTCACACCACATCAAATCACGTAGCAGGGAACAAACTCTTCAATTATTTATTCTTGAAAACAGACCGCCTTGCTAGCGATTCGGACCAAAAGTCTGCGATTGTCTCTGTAAAAGACCATCGGATTTCAGCAACACCAGCACCGAAGGCAATCACGTTCAGCGTTAGCGGTGGTTGTGCCGATCTCCGAGAGTCTTGAAATCTGTTTCTACTACGGTCTACTACGCCCATTCATGAACTCACATACGTCCGACATCTCCGCGTGCTCAAGGCAGATGTGGTGTCGGCGGCGGTGGCGGCGATGACGACGAAGAGGTTGCTGCTTCGGCGCGGGCCGTCTACGGGGCCAAGATGTTTTTTCTCAATACATACAACTAGTACTGAGCCAGTCTGTCGAAAAGCTGGCGCCTGCTGTTCGTGGGCTACGGAAGAAAATGGCAACCGTGAGCAATAGTCTCGATCATACTCGGGAACAGCACCGAACACGAATGACTGCGGAGAACAAGGTCGGAGATCAATTCTAGCGGAATCCCATCGGATACGAGAGCATTCGATTCTATGGATCGATTCTACCTCACAGCGTCCGCCGAGAGACATTACGAGAGGGCGGAATAGCTCCTCCCTGTGGTTCAGTCATCTTCAGGGAGTCACCGAGCGTTCCCTTTTTGATCAGCCTGTACGATTGTCCCCATGATCCCTTGATTCTCCGAGATGTGTGACCGATCGCCTCGGGTGATGATGATTTGAGCAGCGATTTTCGCTCGACTCATGCCGCCGGCATGGGTTTCCGCTGTGAACTCTTTTTCTCAGGACTCTCTGGGAGTGGTGGCAGTGTTGTCGTTGTTTTGGCTTCCTGCATGCGTCCTTCCGACTGGGGATTCCTTTTCCTTCCCGTCGGTCGTCGAAGGGTGCACCTTCTCTGGACGATTTCATTGAGGATACACTTGCCGCATCAGGCTCAAGGACAGAGGGAGTTCTCGCTGGCCCGCTCTCTGGGAACGGAAGCTCATAGCGGATGTCGAAGAAGACTTCCACTTCCTCTATTTTCTAACGAGCGTGGTTTTTAAAAAGATTCTCCCTATTGGAGCCCTCCCATGGGTCGGCAGCACCGTCGGCGACGAGCCGATTGTTCCGCAAGCGCTGGAGCTCGCGTTTCCGTCATTCGGTAAATGCGCGTGCGTTAATCGATGGGGAAACGTCTGGGGATGTGCTCCTCGATGTCCATTCGGAGTCGCCACTCCTACGACGTTCGCTAATCTGAGTTGACTCGCCGTCGATGGGTCGCCGACCGACCGCGAGCTGACTTCAGCTTTAATTTGTGATGCTTACAAAAATTTTCGCAGGGACAGGTGCGAGCCGGTTGGTCGTATAACCTTCCGGTGGTGGTGGCGGCGGTGACTGACACTCCGTGATCCGCTAAAAATGAACGAGTCCACATCCTTTTTCTTTTTTGATTCTAGCGGGACTGCTGACTGTCTCCGAACTCAAATCTCGACTCCACAAAAAGTGTTGCTTCCTAGCTCGCATGCTGCCCGTTGTAGGCTCGCTCGTCGGCAGTTGGTTCCTGGTGCCGCTGCCGATCCGGAAACCCCCCAAGAGACGACGAACAGTTCCCTTTGGCCGGATGGAGATAGCTGAGCAGTTCTTCTTGTTTAAGAAGCGGGCGAGCCTCCATTTTTTTAAAGATCTCTTTCATTTTTAGCATCAGAGGCGCTTCTGTGTGTTCATTCTAGCGTTCTGTGCATATTTGTCCGCACTAGGTGGAAGACTGTCGAGAGAAGCCGGAAAACGACGACGACGACCACGACGACGAGGAAATGACTTCGAGATATAGACGAAACTATACGGTGATCGGAACTCTAAACCTCTGAGAGATTTTTCCTGTTTTTCTTCTCTGCCGTTCAGAGAAGGGGCCTTTTTTTGTAGAATCAAAGAAAGACTTAGATGCACGGCGCTACAAACGACAAGGAGCTTCCGTCGGTCGCCGCCATTATCGGTGGAACATCTGATTCATTGACTTCACTCTGATGGGCTGCTCCGTATGCCATGAAATCTCGGCACAGTTCGGCAGCTCGTCAACGACTCGTAGACCCAGTCGCTCACTGCGGAACTCGCTTTCTCGCTCGGGTCTCGCTCCATGGAGATGCTCACTGAAAGATACCCACAACGTGAGTTTCCTGGACCGTTCCTTGTTGTGTTTACTCAGTGGACGGAGAGAATGGACGATGGCTCTCTTGAGTAAAATTTCCTCGTGAATGCTTGAAAACAGTATCTCCCCGTCAACCTGCTCCAAATCTACCAGCGGTGACCGACGTCGACGGTTAAAAATGAGCTCCTTCGGCAGTAGCCGCCGCCGCAGAAACAGCCCCCACCGCCTTCTTGGCCGTCATGGGAGGCTGAGCCGGATCATTGCGCTGAGAACGTCGCGCTGTGTGAAAACACGGCTCTGCGATGCTGACCGTATATACGGAGGCAGCGCTTACGTCGACGTCGCACGGGAGCCGACTGAGTTACGCCGCCCGTCAGTCCACCCGCCGGCCGGCCGCTCGAATATTCGGTGAGCGGTGCAGAACGCTCCGTGAGAGAATGAAGGGAAAGCCTTCGTTCTTGGCTACAGCGTGCCACTGTAGAGGAGGCTACTCGCGGGTGTTGCTAGTGGTTGTTGTTTTTTTTTCAGAAAGAGAACGCCGAACGTCAAGAGCGAATTCCGCACCCCCATCTTGGAGCCTCTGAATCACGTTGTTCGCTAAGCAATACGGAACTGACTGACTGAGCAGCAGTGGTAGCGAAGCACTGAGCCAGCGAGTCGATTGTATGAACAAGAAGTTGACTGCCTCTTCAGGGATTCGTTTTCTCACTCGTGGGAACGAAGATACCTTCGAAGAATAGAGACGTCGATT